GTCATAAAAAAAGGTTTAGGGAGACACAAAATGCACTAGATGGACTTTTATTTGATTACCCATTTAAGACTTAAAGGGATAGTTCACCCAAAATAAAAGTTCTGTCATCATTTAATCACTTGTTCAAAATGTTTTTTTTTTCTTCTGCTAAACAAATACAAACACAAAAAAAAGATGTTTTGGTTCTTTCAGATGCATGCTTGCATTGTTCCATTAAAATGGAGTATACTGCATATATTTTGGATTCACTGCATATTTGGAGTTTTGGATAAAAAATTTTTCACATGCGTATATTCTGACCACAGGTCAGCTTAAAGCAGAGTGCCCAAACCTTTTCTTGTAAGGGGCCAAAAATCAAACTTAATTGACGGCTGTGGGCCGAGGTTAAACATACCAAATCGTATTAAATTGAATCTGCCTTGGTTTACTAAAATAGTTGCTAATAATTAAAAATAACTAGCTGTTAACAAATGTATAACAAATGTTGCTTTAAATCATATATTTTTTTACCGATGAAGTATCATTTTTATTGTTTTGTAATGAACCTATTATATTAAAAATATAAGTAATCTTATTTATAACACAAAGGAGTTCAGTGATAAATGCACTAGTCAAGCTGCTAATGCCTTTATCTTGATTTGCTCGCCGATGTCTTGTGCATCTTACAGTATTTACATTTTAAAGGTTTAATTATTTACAAAATTTAAATAACACAATATTTTTGTAGGTTCTTAATTCAATAAAAAACAAAAGGTTATGTTAAATTCAAAATAGCGATCTCTGTCAAAAGTAATCACTCCAACCAACTTCCCATTATTCTCCCTCTCTTTTCAGATGGGATGGCGGGCTGTACTTACTTTGCGCAGTTCTAGCTTGAAATCTGCAATTTTCTGATCTGAATTTCTCCTCCCCTCACCTTCTGTTGTTGCCACACTGGTAGTCTCTGCTGTTTTGGGATTTTCATCTGAACAGGCGCAGATTTCTCCTGGTTTGAAACATGATCTGGGTGCTTCCTTCTTAAATGCACCTGCAGATTCTTCCTGTGCATCATTAAACCACAGAAAGGACACAGATCTTGAGCATCTGCTCTGGAGCGTTGTGGGACGGTGCTTTCTACAGGTGAGTGTCCAGAGAACATCTCATTGACCAACGTCTGTATGGCGACATCAGCCTCTGTAGGATGAGGACTGGCAGCAGAATGTGAAACGGTGGGCTCTGTGACAGACGGATTGACCTCTGGAGGATCTTCTTCATCCCTTGGGGACTGAGATGGGTCATCTGTTCTTTCCTGCTCCACCATAATCCCTCCTTCACCTGAGATTAAGGAAAGTAAAATCGTCTAGAGCAGGAGTAACCACATTTTTTCTTACGTAGGGCCAAAATCCAAACTTAATTGAGAGTAGTGGGCCGAAGCAAAATATAACAAACTAAATTACGTTAAAGTTGCCATGGTAGCTTCCTAATTTAATAATATTAAATATATATAAATATATAAGAAAAAAAACTTTAATCAGAAATTATAAATATAGTTTACATCTTATAATGTACTTCTTACAATAAAATCATAAACGATCTCATTTATAACACATTTATATATATATTTTTTAATTTACGAAAACAAGATATTTTCACTTGATAGTGAAATATATGTGTCCTAATAGTATTTTTTTACTAATTTATAGTTATTCATTTAATATTGAGTAGGATATTGTGATTTTTTTTTTTTGAAAGTCTACTTTCACAAACTTGACACCTTCAAACCACTGCAGAAATGTTCTAACCAACAGGCCCCTGTCAGTAAGCTACGTTTCTTAATAAATAAGCTACATTAAATTAAAAGCAATAACATTTTTTTTTTTTAATCATTCCAAGTTTAAATGTTGGAACATTCTAAACGAATAGGGCATAAGGAAGATAACTAGGAAAAGAACTCAGCCAGGAACTATGTTCATAAATACAGCTCGAGAGGTGTATTTGCAAGCGTACAAGTTTGCGATGCAGTTTGTGAATATTCATTGCAACGAAGGATTTGGGCAACGCCAAATCAACGAACTATGTTTGTAATGATGCCACTTGCGACCTTAGTTGGCTAACGATGGTTTTTGGAAATGCACCCCAGATTAGTAACTCTTCAATTAGAGGGGGTGTTTATAAGACTGTCGTAAAACTTTTATAATCATGCTATTACACATGAATATGAATAAGATTTTATGCATGCTTATGACATTTAGTGTCATTGGCTCAGTTATGTCATTTTAATTGTAAAGGTGTCATTGTTTGAGATGTTTTTGTCATGACAACTTGACATTACAAACCAAACATAAATTGTCACAAATCTGTCATAAACATGAATGTCATAAGACCATTCTAATTTTTTTTTAATTTTAAAACCACTTCATTATTATTTTCTTTACCTCAACTACAGTGATATAAATGACATTTGTAGTTATGAAATGTCACTAAATAATAATGACATCGTTATAAATTTATTTATCCACTGAAAAAGGTGATCAGAAAAATATTTATGACACATTTATAATGGCCTCGTCATATAATGTGTATGATGGTAAATGTCAAGTTGTCGTGACAAAGACAGTTTGTGATGTATTCGTTTGTCAAGTTTTCATAACAAAGACGTATTAAATATTGTCCTCATTGCATTTAAAATAAGACAACCTAGCTAATTACAGTTGTAATAGGCATGTGTAAAATCTCTTTCACATTCACATAAACTCAATACAATTATTTACATTTGTTCCAAAGATAAATTTGATGAATATGTGGTGCACTGAAGATGGCAGGTCATTGCATTACACAGAATGTTTTATCACCTGTGGACTCTTGGTTTGGAATCTCTGATTCACTGGGCCCGTGGCTCACCATCTTCTCGCATGCAGCCTGCACAGTATGAAAGGGTTTTAGATGTTTATGACACAAACAACCATGAAACCGTGCATATTTTTTAGCATTTATTTGTAATAAAATTTTTAATATAACATATCTGTGGGTGAATTAAATGCATCCAAATCTAATAAAACCATTTAAAAATATTCTATATGTTATAAATGGTATAAAATATATTATTAAGGTATAACATACAATACCTTTTTAGAGCACAAATGATTTTCAAAATTTGTTTTTCTCCTCCTCATTTTCAGAGCTTCTTCAGAAATCAGGCCCTTGCGTTCCTCACTGACAAGAGTCTCCTCAACACTGCCAGTCTCAGAAACAGTCATACGAAGATCTTGTTCTGGTGAAATCCCCTCCGATTTTAACTCCACTACTGTAATCTTAGTTTTTTTGCTCTCACACATTGCTAAGTGCTTTAGAAAACCGTCTTTTCTCATGAAAGTGGATGTGCAGCTGACGCAGTGAAAGTGGGGAGCAGTTCGGCAATTCAAATGACATTTGAAAATGAAGAACTCTGTGGAGGAAAGAAAATCATTTTTATTAGAGACAGATGTAATGCTTAATGATTTAGGTAGGGCGACGTGGTGGTGCAGTAGGTAATGCTGACGCCATACAGCAAAAAGGTCGCTGGTTCGGGCCTCGGCTGAGTCAGTTGGCGTTTCTGTGTGGAGTTTGCATGTTCTCCTTGTGTTGGCGTGGGTTTCCTCTGGGTGCTCCGGTGTCCCCCACAAGGCCAAAGACATGGGTAAGCTAAATTGTCCATAGTGTATATGTGTGAATGTGAGTGTATGGGTGTTTCCCAGTGATGGGTTGCATCTGGAAGGGCAACTGCTGCATAAAACATAACTTGGGGTAAGATGGTGGTTCATTCCACTGTGGCGACCCTTGATTAATAAAGGGACTAAGCCGAAAAGAAAATGAATGAATGAATGAATAATATATAAAACGTTTATATCGAAAAAGTTAAAAAGGACTGCTACTTAACACGTAATTTCAGAAAAAAAACATTAGTAGATCTTTATTAACATTTGAGATATTATGTATTAGCATGAAACGTTAATCTAAACCCATAGTTTTTCCTAAATACAGATAAACACAATTTTTAAAATTTTCCCATAAATTATATATACACACACATTTCAGTCTTTTATTTCTCATATGCACTTGCCTTTGTGGCGTATTGCTCTTCTTCTGTGACCCTGTAAATGTTTAACACATTTGCTCTTGATGGTGGGTTTGAACATCTCAGGCCCACAGAAAGGACAGTGGTACAAGGAACAGCAGTCATCACATCTCTGGAGAGTTGGCTGCTCGTCTCCGCGCAAAATAGTTTTGTGAAGCTTTGAAATATAAAGGAACAAACATCATTTTAACATGGCTCATGGTGACGAACGCTTTGGAAAACTCAACATCTATAATTTCTCATCTCTTCAATAGGATTTTAATTCAACGTTAAACTAGATTTGTCAGCACCCAACTCTGCATTTAAAACAATAAAATGTAGCCGGATCCAACAAATAGTATGTTTTAATCTGGTTTAATGTCAGTGTTTGATGGATGAAACCGTAAAAAAAACTATCGATATGTATTCATAAATCTCTGATCCACTGACGGACTCCTCCAGCCAAGGGCCGATTTTCAGGTCTGCAGCTGATCCCTCATTCACCTGCAGCGCTTTTTACGTAAGTTACTGTTAAAATATCACGTCCCTTATGACACAATGAAAAGTTTTAGATCTAACATTGCCATCATTCAAGTGGAAACTGCATAATTTACCTCTGAATGTTGACTTGTATGGCTGAACATTTTGGTCAAACTTGTTACGAGTGTTTAATCCAAAACACCGCGAGAAGCCATGAGAGCATACGTACATCTTTTCAATTTAAAAGTCTCAATATAATCTTTACATAATAAAAGTCACAGGAGAGTCTCAACATAACAATAACAGTAAATTCAAATAAGATGAACTGACTGCACCAAAACAATACATTTTAATTATTCAAATATGTAATGAAATTTACAAATGAGACCACTTTTTTCTTCATGTCCATTTGTCTTGATTAAAAAATAAAAAAACTTCCAACACTGTGAAGAATTATTACATAATTTATTGTTTTCTCATTCAAAACCTTGCTTTTTAAATACAGTACTTTCACCTTAGAGAAAAGTCATGACAAGGTGGTTTAAGATTTTTCATAAAGAAATTCAAACAAATAGCAAATGTTGAAGCATGATCTAAATAGGCAGAAATAAGCACAGGGTTGTGGGTACAGGAAGAAGGAACCATAGGATACTGGGAACCAATAAAAAGCAGACTTTCAGCAGATGAGTAGAGTTATGATGTAAAACATGGTTACTTTAGTGGCAGTGAAAGAGGTTTAACAAAACTGCTTAAACCATCCTGCAGTCTGAGATGCCTTTTCATTTTCTTGCATCACCACTTGTGCATCAGTAGAGTCCATTTATAAAATGCATATAGAAAAACTACAAAGATTTCATTTTTCTTGGCCTCGTTCTTTGTTGCAGAGCTGTAAAAAGTTGATATTTCTGTGATAAAAATTCTCCATTTTCCCCAAAAAACTCACGAGGAGGTAAAACAGAAAGGCTGAATACAGCCTTAAAAGAGGTTGTTGTGAAGATAGAATATTTTATGTCTGTTTAATTGAAGGATTCCTAGCGTTCACACACTGTGATGTTAAATAAAACACAACACCGCATACACACACACACACACACACACATGCACACGCTCAGCCTTTCACACACACACAGGCAGACACATACGTCCATGGTCAAGTCTCTGGCATGGAAGTTGATCAAACTATATTTTCAAGTGAGCCGAGGGGATTTTAAGGATGTAGTGTTTCTCTCTCAGTGTTTCATCTTCATCCTCACATCACATCAGCACGTTTGTCCCTCACTTTGTTCCTTAATTTAGTCCGAGCTTTGAATGCAGCAGAGTTAAACAGGTGCTGTTAAGAGACAAACATCAGTTAGAATAAGATGCACAGAAAGATGTTAAATTCATGAAAAAGTGTGTGTTTTGGCAAACACACACCTACAAAACATTAATTTATTCTGTAAATTTGACTTTGTGATGTCAGAATGACTGCTTGGCTTATTATGTTTACAGATGACAAGGGTTTTATGTAAGATTACCCTCTCGGTGCGAGAGATCTTGCTGGCCTTGACAGATGCATCCAGGATGAGAGGAGGTCCAAGGCCAAAAATATCCCTCAGCAAAGGATTAAACTACAGAAACAGAAATAAAACACTCTTTAGAACAAACAGTACCAAGTAAAACATATCAACCAAGTGGTTTCTAAAGAGACTGACTCTAAATTATAGATGGCCAGAAGCTGTTATTAATATTGGCATCAGGGGTTAATTAGACATTTTTAACCAATCAGTATGGGCTCTGTGCATTCACACGAAAAGTGACGCGGCTCATCATTGCTGATGTGGGCGAGGAGAGTTGAAATCAACTCAACTCTACGGCAATGAGCTATGATGCAGTTCAGCGACAACCCACTGCTTGAGGATTCCAGAGAACACTGTCCTGTGAACATGGGTTCTGACCACACTGTTCCCAAAAATTAGATTATTGCCGTAGCTGGATTTCAATTATTTACCACATGTCCCTGTTTGATTACACTGATGGAGTTACTGATGTGTGTTAATGTTATATATTTTTGTAAGAAGCAGGAATCGCATGTTGACTATACTGACAGTAAAAAACAATATTGCTACTTCAGAATATTTCATACATATGGACATACTGGATAGGTGAAGCAAAGCCACACCACATGCAATAACTTTATCCTCCCTTGTAGTTAATTTCTTATAAGATGCGCAACATTTTCCAGCTAGAAAGCACGTTTTTGTGCGGAAATAAAACTGATCTGCTGATATGCTGCAACAGCCACTTTAAATACAAGATCAATGTAGTGAATTTTGATGCTTTCGTAGGGGCACTGTAAAAGGCAGACAGTGATGTTGTCAGGGCAGCCAGAGTGAATTTTAACGCTCTTGCCTTCAAAAATGTGAACACACAGTAAGCCAGATTTTTTTATTTACTTTAGCTGTCACACAGATGTCATCCATTGACAGTGGCAGAAAGAACACCTTTGTTTGGAAGTGTGTTGTCAACAGTAACAAGCAACTGGTCCTCCTCACCTGTAGGTGGTGTCTGACTCCAGACTCAAGCACCTCCTTGAAGGCATCATAAATCCTACGGCGCATCCAGCCATCAATATAGATGACCTCAATCCCAAACTGGATCTTCTCATCTGTGAAATCTTCATTCTGAAAGACAAATATGTATTATATATCAATTTCATACTCATCTAGTACGGTTCAGGATCAGTTCAACTTTGACAAAGTATACAATCTTGCTTTAAAATGCTTTTTCTTTTTGAAATTGAAGATACGATTAAAAAAAACAACAATAAAAAGCTCTGATTTACCTCAATGTAGTGCAGCACTTCTCTGAAGATGGAGCGCTGTTTCCTGCGGTCATTTTTAGCACGATGTTTGTTTCCGTCAGTCGCCAGACTCTTCAGACTATCGCACAATGCATCACAGTCTTCATACTCGAACTCCTGAAACACAACACATCATATACACAGTCAACATGCTGAAAGAGTCCTGACACTCAAAATTTACCAACAAAGAGAATAAGTATATATTAATAGGGCTAAGCTATTAATTTAAATCGTATCAAAATTGCATAACAGTACAATTTTTTACGCGTTCATAATGCAGCGTGCCTAAACAGAGCGTAAGAACAGGAGACTGAGCTTAATGATAAATAGCCTGCATAAACAGGGATCAGCACAGTAGAACTTGGTGCCCAAAAACTCAACATCTGTGGTGTGGGGGCTTACTTAGCATACAGAAGGGCTATTCAAGTAGTTTGTCACGGGGGCCGGTTTATGAAAAGCATCCCAAACGAAGGCCCGTAGAGATATGACTTGCTATACGAGTGATAACAAAACTGCATATAAGAGCCCATATGCTGTTTTTTTCCTCCTTAAGACACCCAAATTGGGTTTTTCTACATTAAAATGTGAATATATTGTATTTTGAAACTACATCAGTGCAGTGTACAATAGACTTTCTTTTTTACAAACATAATCAAATGTTGTATTTCAGAGCACAACAAAAGCAGTGCATTGCTGAAGTAGGCTTCTTCTACATTCAGGCACATTCATATGTTACTTTTCAAACTGCATTACAATCAGGGATGCAACAATTATAGATTTTGGTTGTATGATTATGTAGTCTGAAGAATAATCATGCGTTCATGGTTATCATGTCTAATGTAAATTCAAGCTTTATATTAGGTACGTAGCTATTTAGATTACCTGTTGTTGCCATCTGCGTTCATACATACATAATCATTTTAATAATAATTAATCCAACTTTATTGTTTACTTTGCACTGAAAAGGACGGACAACTCTCACTGTGAGATGCTTTTTATTGTGTGCGCCGGGAAAGACGCAAGCGCGTTGCTCAGCTTGTGTGCGCATATTGTCATATGTTCTTACATTAGAAATAACAAACTTGCAAGCGGAAAAGACGGGACGTGGGAATGGCCGCTGCTTTGCGGCGTTGAGAAGCCTTTACGACTGATTAACTGTGACAAATTAAAGCGCAGTTAATAGTGAAATCGGCTAATCATTGCACCCCCTGCTCGCGCCACTCGCTTATGGTGACTCAAGCCTGATTTATACTTCTGCGTCAGGTGACCGGCGTAACCAACGGCGCATGCAACGCGTGTGGCTGTGCATTTATACTTCTGCGCGCTGTCTGTTGGTCTGCATTAACACTTCCGAAACGCTAGTTGGCAGTGAGGTGTAAATGTTCCTCTGTGTCGAGTTTCTTCGCTCCTTTTTTTCTTTTCCTGAACACTTCCTGGATGTGCAAGTGGCTCAAACTCACTCATTTTGAGGCAGGAACCGGCGGACGTGCAACAACTTTAACTATGAGGTAAACACAAAACAAAACTTTCCATCCGGAGCTCCTTCACGGTACTCCACACTTGTAAACAATCGCTCGCGCCATTCGCGCGGCTCTCGGTCTCGTCAGCGCTACCAAGCCGACCAATCACAGAGCTTACGCTACGCGTCGTTGCGACGTGTAGTTACATTTTTTGAGAGGTGCACGTCAGTGACGCCGATGGCCACGGCGAAGGGCTATGCGTCAGCACCGTAGCATACGCCGGTGTTTGACGCAGAAGTATAAATCAGCCTTCACGCTTTGCACAGCTTCTGCATCTCATGCTGTATTGACTGATGCACGTCACTTCATAAATATAGCGACTGTTTTTCCACTGAATTAAATAGATTTTTTATGTCTTGGTTGCACTATTTGGAGGGCTGGAACAAATTGCCTTGGCGGCCTGGTTCGGCCCGCGGGCCGCCAATTGAATAGCCCTGGCATGCAGGAAGGCTGATGCAGAACTAGATAATTTTAATCACCTGTCAGTTACATATCATGCCTAAAAAGTGCGTGTAAAGCGAAAGGTGCATTGCTGCTTTTAGCATTTTTAACGTGCTTTGTGCTCCTTTGTCATGGGTAGGCAACCATTGATGTTTTTGATGTTTTCAACAAGGTGCACCTGGAGTACGTGCACATGTCGCTCCCAATATGCATGTGCAAGCCATGTGCCTCCATTGGAAATAATAAACTTGTGCGTGCAAAGATGTGGCATGTAAACAGCATAGCATTTCATGGAAGCGTCACAAAGAGGTCTATGCATGGTGAAAAAAAATCTGTGGACAAAGAAAAGAATCAGAGCCTTGAGTTCGACTGTTATAGAAACATTTTCTAACACAAACACAGTTACACCTTTACTATGTGATTTTTATTTTTTTGCCTTATGTCCATTTTAGAGACATGTTACAGGTCTCACAGGTAAAACATCTGTGTGTCAAAATCGTGATTAATCGCAATGTTGTTAAAAAAAAATCATGATCAGTTTCTTTTGTCCATATTGCAAAGCCCTATCTATTACTACCACTAAAAACAACAGAGACAGTATTAATCAGCTTTTTAATGTAGTGTTTAGGGCTGCACGATTAATCGAAAAAAGATCACGATCTCGATTTTATCCTAAACGCTTCCCTACGATTCAGCCAATTATATTTTCAAGGTCAGGAAAAAAGTGTAAAGGTGAATGTACAAGTCTTCACAGCAACATGTACACCTCCAAATGGTGTTAAAAGTGTCACATACTGTATTTTATAGGGTATATTTGTGCCAAAAATAATTTCTGTCTAATGTTCACGGATGCAAAATCGCACGTGAGCCGATTCACTGTTTGTTTACTACCGAGAGGACGCGCGCGTGGCCGTCTGATGACTACTTCAGTGAACAGAGCCTGCATAGGCTGTGAATAACAGGTAATAAAGTTGTAAATAACGTTCACCTTGTTGCACAGAGTGATCGTTTGATAGCTGTGAGGGGACTCTGGGAGTATGATTTGCACGTGTGTGTGTTTTTTTCTCTCTCACAGTGACGAAGGTCATGAGCCGCACTCGGAAATAAAAATGAAACAGATGCGCACATCATTTAAATGATCATATCGCATTTTATACAGACTCCCGTTCTCTATACAAACCTGATCAATGTCTCGGCCCAGTTCATACAGCAGAGCGATGGTCTCTCCCACAGCAATCCTGAAGTTTACCTCACTGCTTTCTAAACATGCATGCAGACGAGGTAAGTGGCTGAAAAACAGATAAAGATCATGTTACAGGCTTGTTTGTCTATGTATATTCTATCTGGGTGTTGTCATATCGCTTGTTGTTAAAATGTTAAATAAAACACACTGAAGCATTATCGCTTTATCTTCATTATTCATGCTGGCTTGGATTATAGATAAGCTTTATATTGATGTCCTGCAAAACAACATTCATTCATTTATTTTCCTTTAGCTAAGTCTCTACTTCAGAGGTTGTCACAGCGGAATGAACCACCAACTATTCCAGCATGTGTTTTATGCAGCGAATGCCCTTTCAGCTGCAACCCAGTATTGGGAATCACACACATGCACTGCATACAATTTAGCTTACCCAATTTACCTGTACCGCATGTCTTTGAACTGTGGGGGAAACCAGAGCACCTGGAAGAAACCCCAACAAACACAGGGATAACATGCAAATCCACACCGAAATGCCAAGTGGCCAGCCAGGGCTCGAACCAGTGAACTTCTTGCTGTGAGGTGACAGTGCTAACCACTGAGCCACCATGCTACTCGCAACAACATTTCACAGGAAATTCAATTATTACTAAAAAAGACAACCAGCAACCATCTAAGTGCCCCTTTTAACTCTGATTGGTGGCTTTTTGACCTTTTGAGACATTTGAAAAGGTAACTTCTAGCCCTCAGTGTAGTAACAAATATATTTGAAATGTTTTAGCATTTATCACCTTTAACATGATAACACTTTCTTTTTAATAGGTTAAAATAATTAAAAAAAAAAAAATTTTTATTAATTGATACACCGGCAGGTAAAAGCTGCTGTTCTCTCTCTTGGTTGTTGTAATAGCACTAAGGCAGGGGTGTTAAACTCAGTTCGTGCTTCAACACACTTATGCCATGGTCACACTAGATTGTGTTTGCAATATTATGTTGTATTGCGCTGCGAAAAGGGGTGGGATTAAACACTATTGTTAGACATTGATAAAAGCCAGTGATTGGTATAGATTTTAAATTTCTGTAGAGAGGTAACGTTTTGATCTATTAATCTAACAAAGTTACATGATGCGATTTCGCATGTCACCAAACTTCAAATGCAGTAAATACGAAACTTGGGTGCATAGGGTGCACATTGTGGTGTGTTTAAGCAACTTTTTGGCCCCGATGCAGGCGACTTGACAAGACAGGAATTTTTCATTACAGCTGAAGCTTAGATTTCAGCTTATTGTGTCATGGTATTTAAGCTTACTGAATAAATCTATGGACAGGTGCATACTCACTGGTTGAGAATGGTGTTGATGTGTGATGCAGGACAGAGGGTGCAGAGCAGAGCCCAAGCCTGTAGGGCAGCGCTGTGGAGAGCAGGGGTCCCGGCTTTGACAGAGGGCAGAGAGCCATCGCCTAGAGGATACGCACCCACAAACACACTCTCCAAGTGTCCAAGAGATTTCAGCAGATCCTGACAAAGACAGATGACAGTAGTTCAAATTTGCAAATCTATAAATATTCAAACATTGAGCTGTGCAATATTATACTTGTTTATTTTGTGATACTATTTGTAATACTTCTTTGACATACATGAGCGCAATATTACACACCCTTACAGGAATACAAAAAATAATGAATAACATTATTGTGAGAAAGTTGAAATCTTGAAAGTACATCGTTTACATTTTGCAATTATTTTAATGCTCGCTTATGTTGGACCTGTAATCATTCATATTTGAAAGTGTTTTATATTTTAGTAATACTTATTTTATTTTTATTTCTACATTAATCAAACATTTGCCCAAAAGTTCTAAATAGCATGAAATATTATCACAGTAAATTACCAAGTCCATTACATATGGCCAATATACATTTAAATATATAATTTTACAGAAATGGTACTGTGTCATATCACTCAACCCAATTCATAAGCATTTTATAAGAGCAGTTCTTACCTCTGCATCATCCGAGGCAGACACATAGCAGCACATGCCTAGAGCCCGAGCACACTGAGGAAAAAAGTTTGAGAATTAAGAAAACAATAACATTTTAGAGGCCAGTGTTAACAACATAACTGAAGGCATCACTCACACTCTGCCGTGCTGCCAGGCTGGCACAGCTGTCAATCAGAATGGTGCTAAGGACAGGGCGGAGCATTTTAAAGCCCTCCTCCCCTTCGACTCCGCCCCCAAGCTGCAAACACAACAGAGCGAAAACTGTAGCAGCAGCAGCCTGCTCCTCTCCTCCACCTACAGAGAAGGACATTTTACTGAACAATTCAACAATTCATTTGTGCAAATGAACCCACAGATACTTGTACAATAACAACACATCAGTACTACAAAAGATTTTACACTGAAAATAATTATGATGAAAAAATACACAACTAATTTCACTTTTTCATGACCCAAAAACATTAAATTATGCTTTCATCTTATGAATACAGGATGGGCAAAGTCAAAGGTTAATATATTTACAATATGCAAACCCTTATGATTTATTATTTATGTTGCTAAGGTTTGAATTAAGATCATGATATTTTAAAGTTTAATTGTGCAGCTTTGCACTGAATGCATTAATGCAGGCTACACAACCAGTGAAAGAAAACACCTTTAATTTATAACCTAAGAAAGCATTTAGGTCCCACCACATCTTTTTCTGTCATCATTAAATTTTACAGGGAATCCAAAATGCTTTCATACACAGGATTTAAAAGATGTGAGAGACCATCTCTCTGCAAATGTTATAAACGTAGTTTAATCCAACAAGTTTAAAAAAAAGTTATTAATCCACAGGTCACATGCATTCTGAACAGTGTGTTGTGATCCGTACAGATCACGGATCAACCCTTACAGACAATTCATATGAGGGCCCTCTTAACGGTCAAGAACAAGAAAAAAGTGGAAACCTTATGTAATTGATGTACTCAGACATTCTTCCCAGAGTATAAAAGCTCCCTTTTTTCTTGTTGTACATATTGACAGGGCAGTCCAAATCGCTATGAAAATTCTACACTTTAATAATAATGGGCATAATAATAATAATTATTATTATTATTATGTCTTAATCAATTGTTGCTTAACCAAAAGTTTAACATAGTGTAAGATGGCAGAAAACAGTTTGGGTAACTTCATTGACTTTACTGGCAATTGTTCTTGCAAAACTACATCAAAAATTGGAAAAGTATGCAAGTATTCACTCTTATTTTTTAACATGTTCAATTCAATCAGCAGTACAATTTTATTAATGCACATTTTTTGTAAAAATGTTAATATTCATATTTAAAAAAACTATTAATGAGACAATTTGAATCAAATATCATATATGATCAAATTTACACCACCAGCATAACATGATAAGCCATGAAAAAGTGTTTGTACAACAAAATACAGGTAGTATAAAATTGGTTATAATCAAATGAACCTTGAATATTTACAAAAATACGGACAGATATTTCATTGTTTAAATTAGCCCCAGAAATAATCTGCATGTGCAACCACACACTGAGAGAAACCAAAAGTAACCCTAATATATAGTATAGTACTTTAAATATTCAGTAAGTGGGGCGTCAAATACACAGGTGTTTATGCGACTACACAACAATGATAGTGAATTAAAAATATGTTTTGTTGGGCGGAATCAAAAATATTTTTGACGTCAGTTGTGGGCTGGAGGGGGGTCTCCGCAAATGGCCTGCGAGCTCTCAGTTTGAGACCCCTGATATGAATACTTACATTTTGTGAATAAAAGTAACATACAATAGCAAGCACAAAGGTAAATATTAAAAATATTTTCTATATTCAAAAGTGTTTGTACTTAAATTCTTTTACATAATCATATATAGCTCATTTGCATAAGAATAATAACAAATTAATAATCCCACCTTTCTTCAAGCTCCTCTCTAGACAGTCACTGATGGTGTAACGTCTCTCTAAGAGGAACTCATACAGAACCCTAGAGGAAAACGCCATGCGCAGACTTTCTAATGCAGCCAGACGGGTCTTGGCACTGAAACACACACACACACACACACACACACACACACACACACACACACACACACACACACACACACACACACACACACACACACACACACACACAAAGAAAGACAAGGTTGCAAATATTATCTGGTTTTCTTCAACTCTGCCAACTGTTGAGCATAATAATAATACCTTTTGTCCATAAGATTGTCAATGCATTGCTTCAGTTTGTCTTCTGTTTCTTCCTGAGCAGTTTGTTCATCAACCACCTCACCTGTACAGCACAGTTTGTTAGTTTTCAACATTTGATTCAATTATTATTATTTTTAGATTTTTGCTAATAAACTTCTTTGTGTACCTGCGCCCTCTTCTATAACTGACGCACTTTCACTGGCACTGCTATAGTGACTGAGAACATCAGATGCCAAATCATCATCACTCACACCAGTCTCGCCTCTCACCCCGTTCCTCCCTAAAACAGACAGAAGAGACCAGATGAAGAGATGAACAACACATTAGTCTAATATTGTAAATAAATGAGGGAGAAATGACTGTTAGTCATAGTTAGGCAAACATATGGATGTGTCAGAGACTCAGAGTAATAATAAGCAGAGTAATAATGTGTGTTTAATCTGTCCACAAACTTATGTATCTAATACCTGTTTTTATCTGCCATCTGATTCACTTCAGTGCAAAAAAAAAACATCCCTGGAGGAGTGAAAAACCAGTCTGTGCCCTTCAGTTTAGTAGTTTACAGTGTCTCCAATTGACTTTACAATAAACTTTAATAATGGAACTAACATCCCAATTGCCTCAACTCTCATATATACATAATATATATCTCCACACACACTACAAACCCACATCCCAGAAACAACCTCTGATTCAGGTTAAAGTGCAATGTGGCCTTCTGCAAACACACATGATTGCCCACCTGTTAACCCCAGGCCACCAGTAGACCTTTAGTTAATAGCATGAATGGGTTAAAGAAAGATGAGGATTTGTAAAGAGCATGTTTAATTATTTACTAAAATGGAGTGAATAGCCTTTATCATTAAATCCATGCAGGCAAGTAAAGAAATATCCACAGGGACTCCTTTAAATCCTCCTAAAATCAATCACTGATCCTCTCTGGACCATGAATCTAGTCAATCAGATCTCTTTAATGATCAGGCTAATCTTTTAAAGGTAGGTCATGCAGTTCAAACTATTGAAAAGACTCAGTTAAACCACTTCAATGTGTTATTTGGAATTCATTATGATCTAACTTGATAAGTTTGATTTCGTTAGGAGGATTTTAGTAAGGAGATTATTAATTTGTAGTTTTTGTCTGCTTAATGTATATGCTAAATTTTAGGGTCTGTAAGAATTGTTGATTAGGAACCAAGACTGCAGTTCTTAGATGACCACAAACACAACACAAACAATGATGTAAAATAACACCTCAATTAAAATAGTTTTTTTATATTTTAATAAATTCTGAAGGGGTCTGGGAATTATCTGGAAAAACTAACTTTTAAAAAATTCAATATTTTGACTTAGAGGTCAATAAACTTTGAAATATCCTGTACATTACAGAATATATATCATGGCTCGACAAAAAGGACTGCCCAATGTCCCGGGGCCAGCATGCAAGACGCTTGGTATAGTAGACAGGATCGTTACTGGCCCAATCAGGCCAATGCTGCCTTGTCACTAAAGTTTAATTTGGCTGCGACTGTTTGTCAACTGCATGCAAATACATTCTCAGGGTTCACCCTTTCCCGCAGTCAACCTATTCACTGATATTGAGATATTAGAACAACACATTTACAATAAACATATTAAAAGCCTCAAAATACTAAAACACAGCCACAGTAAAAAAACAAACAAACACACATCATCAATATAAATGTGACATCACAAAAGACTTAGAAATAGCAGTTTAATGCCGAGTTCAGATTGCATGATTTTAGCCTAGATTTTTACTCGCTGACAGGTTGAGAAAACGCTGACAAATGCTTAAAATCACAGGCAAATCGTTGCTCATTTACGCGAGTAACAATCACACAGTGTGAACTATCAAAAACGCAATCTGAGAGAATCGCCGATGAGTTGCCGATGCCTGTGAGATATTTGGCATGCTAAATATCTGGAGCTGTCTGGGATTCAAATCATGTCGTGTGATGTGAAATGAGTTGACTAAAAATAACATCGCTGATTGCCTACAGCCAATGAGAGAGCAGCATTCATAAGTGTGGGTACCAGCACCTGCAGGCCAGCGGGAGGAGGATCGGGGAAAATTAAAGCACTCATTTTAAGTTTATTTGGACCCAAGTAATGGAGGAAAAACTAGAGGAAATTTGGCCGGAGGACATGTGTCAGTTTGACTTATCATGAGAGCAATATCACAACTGGGTCATAAAAGAAAGTTGAGGAGAAATGGCTAATTCCCTTCAAACCCAGGTGAGCAAATATGCACATGTTCTACGCCATTAAAGGCTTCGTTCTCATCATGTAGTTAATAACAAAAGATATACTATGTAATTTTGGTTGAGACGTAGTTGGGACGAAGTTGTCAGCGATTCTTTATATTGTAAAGTCATGCAATGTGAACCCCCCTGTCGCCGATCCATATTGCAGTGTAAAGAAAGCAGCGACAAAAAAGCCCAGATAGTCATGCAGTAATAAAACATCTGTAACGCGATTACTTCGAAAATCATGCAGTCTGAACATGGCATAACTGTACTATTAAGACATGCATTAGCAAAAAAATGGATGCTGTGTGGAGGAGGAGTTTGGACAAGTTGAGAGTTAATGGAAAAATGTAAGAAAATTCAAAATGGCCTCTGACTTCAAGGAGTCATTTTGATGCGAATCAGAACAGTTACACAGCCATATTAAATATTTTTACATGAGTTCCAAACATTTCCAGAACTTTCCAGAAGCGTCATCAATTAGTGAAGTGCAAATGACTTCCTTTGTTTGAGTCCTACTGCCATCGTAGAGAAGAAGCCATTGTTAAGACTTTGAGAGACAACAACAGGCTCTAAAGATGATAAATGACTTCTTAAGAGCTAAAAAGAACACATTTCTGCTGTGGTACCAATAAAAAGGTTGTTAGCTTTTACTGATGGTGTGATGGCTGAACATCAGACCAAAAAGCATAAGAAACACTGGCCTGCTGATTTCAAAAGAAAGCAGAAATGACTAGTAAGATGCTTATGGGGAATTTAGGTTCTCGAGATTTTGAAAGGCATTAGATAAATGAGAGATGATGTAAAAAAATACACATGAATGGATATTCACATGCAGCCTGTTGAAAATTAATGGGGTGAGTGAGCGGCATGAGGTCAGAATTAAGATCTCATCACACTACCTGTACGTGACAGCGCAGTTTTTGACAACTGCAGCTGAAGCACTTCCTGTCGAAGTGAGCCTGCTCACAGTGAACAAGAGGAAGAGACTGATTAAACTCGCAGATCAGCAAAACATTTCATCTTTAACAGGAGAACAAAGCCAGTCAACAAGAATAGAGCTCTACAGTCATGAGTCGTGACATCAAAAACACGTGGCATATGATGGCATCAAACTTCCCTGTTGCAACAATCACTGACGTTTTAGTCATTTTAAGTGGGATAATCGAGATATTGACATATGCTGCAAATAATAGGTTGTTTAACATGTATAATAATAACAAAAACTTACATTTGTTAAATCACACATTATTACATTTGTTTTCTTAATGTTAGGTGGAAAATATTGTAGCTGAATTAGTCATTAGCGCTATGACTTACAACGTTTACAAGGAGATCAGTAATCAAATAATTTGCCTTTATCTGAATAAGATAATAATATGATTAAGGTGTTTACATGAGTTGCTTTTTGAATGTTCCTCTCATGATCTCATTTTACATGTTATAGCACATGATTGAATTAACATCATTGTGTCACTATGCCATCCACATTTCTTCCAGTTTCGGGAGTTTAGTTTTTAAATTGTCGACTTTAACTGCAGTTTGGTACTTTCACTTTCATTCAGTAATTTTCGCTGCATTTCGCGATTCAGGTGTCCGTTGTTCGTCTATGACTTGGTAGGTGCAGAAAATAGTGTCAATCAGCCGTGTGTGTATAGTCTATCCTGTTGCAAAATGCAGCGAAAAGTCCTTCATGATGGTAATACTTCGATTAAGGTGTTTACATGTCTGTGCTGCACTTCAATAATGTAAATAAAATCAGCATACTCCACATGTCTTAATTCAATTTCTGTTTAGTTAAACTATGACCTTAATCGGATAAATGCCATCAAAAAATAAAATACAAAATAAATCGCTGTTTACATGATACTCTTAATCAGAGTATTGTCTTAATCGGATTATTGGTGTTCATGTAAATGTACTCAGTTATTTGGCATGAATTAAGAAATTAACATCAGCCAAGATTAATAATAATAAATGTTTTACAAGTAACTTTCATTGGCATTTTGAAGTCCAAACAAAAATTTCATCCATGTTCATTATCATACTTGTATTACTGAATAGCGGCACATGTCTCTATAAGAGATTAGTTCCCACAAGATGTATTGAGTTCTATTTTCCCTCATTTCATTTATGAAACAGCATCTGTGGTAAACAGTATTCAAGTGCCTTTGTGGCGTTACTTACTAAAAAATATGCTTTAGAAATAAAAATAACTGCTAAAAAATGTGTGCTTTCAAAATGATTGGGTGTAATTGACATTGTAGGGAGAATAAAATTGAAAAGCATTTTTTAACAAAATGTTAAAAGCTGATATAAAAACACAGAAAAGCAATAAGGTAAGCAGGGGCAAATTAGGTTTTTGCATGTGAACGCTGACATCCAAACTTTGGAGAGCACTAAACAAGTGCATCGATAAAGGTGTTGTCCCTTGTCCACTTACAAATAAACTCTTGTGTGGTTCATAGGCATGGGACAATAACCGTTTTTAAGGTATAATGCGTTTAGATAAGTCAAGGTTTTAAAACAGACAAAATTTTCTGTAATACCGTTCCTAAGGTATGTGTGAGATTTTTTTTTATTTACGTTTATTTTTTAGGACAGCAGTATCTCCAGCAGGGCCGGAGTGGGACTCCTTTTCAGCCCTGGAGTTTTAAGCTTCAGACCAGCACACCTCAGTTCACGACTGAATATATTAAAATAAGGTCACTTCCAAATCAGTTTCTAATGGCTCTATCACGTGTTTATCAAAAAAAACAGCTGCTTCAACAACCTTAACAGTATTATATACCTTAACAATAATAAAAAAAACAATAATAAATTACTCAAGTGAGGTTCGAACCCAGGTAGGTGGTGTCGTAACACATCGTGCTGTCCACTGGACCACAACGGCTTTTCTTAATGAAGTGAATCATCTGAGTTAACCTACAGGCTGCATCATGCACACAGGGCTGAGAGAAAATAAATCAAGAGCGGAGCTGCGGCAAAATAATGAGTAAAAAGAGTGAGGCTGTGGTCAAATAAATAAATAAACGAAAAAAGTGCGACTGCTGAGAGCAAAAGAGTCTGGAGCTAGGGACACTGGCCCCCGCAGCCAAAAAACAAACTGGCCAACCGGGAATTCTACTGGTCCTCCCGATTAGCCAATCCGAGCCTGATCTCCAGCTAAAATAAGATTTCCAAAGACGCTGTTTTAAATTGAAAAGAAATCTGTGTTTTTGAAACTAAAGACAGCAGAAGTCAATGATTCATTTGAATTATTTATCCTAACGAGTTTATTGTTCAAAATATCATATCTTTCACAAAATAAAATCTATTGTGTTCAAAGGGCAAAAACGTTTTTGTTTTTTACCCAGACAGAAAAAGGAAAATATTTTAGAGCAGTTATCACAATACAGTGATACCGTGATATTTTTGTCAAGATTGTCATACCGTCAGAATAATTAACACAAAACGGAACATAAACAAACCAAGATTTGCATTATTTCGCATTGTCAGATTCCAACTCAAAAAATGACAGTGTCAATGCCAAGTGAACCAGGGTGAAATATGTCATTTTCTCTCTTTGGCTCAGACACCTCACCAGTTTTCTGAGGTTTGACAACACAGCTGCAGATGACATGCTGCCAATAAAAAGGAGCTGAGGAACACAAAATGTGAACACAAAAACTGCAACATGTAAGCTCTGCACATCTAAAATGTGAAGAAATCTACAAAACTGCTCATTTAAGCAAGTGTTTTTCTTTTTTATTAGGTTTTAATTACATTTATTTAAAAACGATGTAATTCGTCGTTATAACTTAAAAATCAAGCAGAGTAGTTAAACAGACAACACAAATTTGCAGCAGTCGCCAGGGGTAAATTGTCAGGAGACCCATTTTTGCCATGCTTGCTTGACCGGCGGCGCCACGCTAGTATCGCCGTGCCCTGCTGGATCTGGTTTTACTGGAGCTGCACGTGCACGAGGAATGCGCGCCGAAACAGCACGTGATGCGGTTCTGCTGCGAGAGAACTTCACAAAAACTCGCTGTAAACCAATAGTACCGTTTAGGCAAATAGTTTAATTTTAATAGGAAACTTCTCAAACCTTACAGGTCGCGTTAGAGGACCGTGAAGGCCCTTTTTCGTGACACTTGAGCTAAATATACACGAGCAGACATGAGCTTCACCTGTCAGGCTGCAGACTGAATAACCCTGACAGTCAATCACTTTGTTTCTATACTTACTGCTGAGATAAGGGCAAACACAGGTAATTATCAGATATTTATTGGTAAATATTTAGTGTATGATGAAAGTAAGAACACTGTCACTTGGATTGAAGTTAAAATGTAAACAGTGCTAAATGGTTGCAGCTTAAAACATAATTCATAACAATGAGTTAGATATATGCTACATAACTTGAACATTTTATAAGTGAAATGAGAAGGTGAAGAAATTAAGATGCTCAGTTTCCTGCTGTCATCCAAAACAAATATGGCATGTACCTCATAGCACATTTTAAATGCATTTTAAAGTGTTTAGAATAAATAATGCACCATTTTGGTAAAGAGTGTGATTACACGAAGAAATTAAACAGATTTGTTATTATTATTAAGACAATTTCACAGGGGAAAAATGCTACAGTAAGATATTTTCCGTGTGGTCAGTTCTTATAACACTGGTGACAGAGGAAGGTGTAAACTCACCCTTACTCGAACTGTTCCCTCCGCGTTTCCCCTTTTTGTTTCGTGGCATTTTGACAGCTGCTCCAAAACACCAACGCCTGAAGGAGACACGCTGTAGACGATGACCAATTTATTACCAGTCCCTGCCGAGAAATCCCTCGCAGAATATCAAAATAATACTGTGATCTGTTCAGTTTGGCCCCCACGTTTGAGGCACCATATGTAAGGTGCGTCTCGCACCGAAATCAAAATACTTATAGTTTCGTCTCAGTTTTAGTATGTATTATCTATGGTTGTCCCCGGGTAACCGATGTCTAATGCCAGGTTGAGATGGTAAATGTTTTTGGAAATGTTTGGGACGGAGTATCGTGCACGTTGCTGCTCCAGATTCCACCATCTTCCCATCGGTAACGGCTTGCAGACCCGGCACGCTCCTCCTCTACGTCTCACACAACAGCATGCATTGTGGGTAATGCAGTTTCCTACTAGGGAATTCTGCTTGTGGCATGTGCGACAGATAAAAAATGACAACTACAATTCCCATAGCCATTCAGAAATGTTTGGTTTGCACAGTCTGCAGAAAAAGTTACAACTTTAAGAACTTTTTCTGTTTAAAAACAATAAGGACGCCAGTCATAATTGTTTGTGTACTTTTATATTTACGGTTTTATTGCTGCATGTAATTCTCACGGAGTGTGACTAACTTTTGGTTCACGTGGCCTTTATGGCACACCGGCCATTAAACCCGCTCTTTAAAACAAGTTTATCAATACCTATGTTTATGTTAACTCAACATAAATCTTATGTATTTTAAATAGGATAACTATAATAACTGCCTGCTCAACCTACTGTATACTATGCATGTATGGTTTATACAGTCCAGAAACATATCTGCAGTCAGGTTAAAATCATATTGTTTACTGCTGCTTAATGTTAAATATACACTTATGGAAACAACTAGAATGTCATTTAGAAATAGTCAGAGCATAAAATGAAAAAGTCAAAATAATAATATTGCCATGTGTTATTTTAGACATATGAATTGTTTATACAACATATACAAATATTTTAACTTTAAAGTTATAAAGGGAAATTATGGAATAACCCTAAATAACATTTTGAAAATTGAAGTGCTCTAAATATATTATTTAAAATTTCGATAACATATCATCATACCTCATAATATGATTTCAAACCTTCACAAAGTGGATGTTAAAGTCTGAATGCACTGTCAACTGTATCTTTTATTGAATTGGCCTTCTCTTCAATCACGTCAACAAATCTGTCGGTTTCTGTTCATTTACAAAACTATCACTGGGAAAACTTCACCATATTTACAGTCATTAACATTCAGAAGACATGTCGAAATCTGCACACTAGTAGATTTATTAACGTTTGTATACCTAAAGTTTGTGCTTCATTTGGTTGTTACTCTTTTCAGTTTTCTGCTGCTGGTACTTGAAAAAACCTCAACACTTTTATTCCACTATCAACCTTTAAAAATTCAATCCAGTCAATAGTACAAGATCACTGTGCTTGTTTTAGTCTTTCCTTGCTTTATATGTTATTATCTGCATTTGTGAAATTGTTATTGTATTGTGTCCCTGCTGCTTCATATCTGCTTTTTATATTGCCTCTTGGCCATGTCGTCATTGTAAATGAGAATTGGTTCTCAATTGACTTACCTGGTTATACAAAGGTTATTATTATTATCATTAGTAGTAGTATGATGATGATGACATGATATCATACCATTATACATCATAAACAAATATTAACATTTTATTTAAACATGCTTTACCCAGCAAATAAAGTACACCCAGAGAATCTGAGTTTTGGTATATAAACTATGGTAACCCTGAGTGACATTTTAGTGATCCACCACCACACCAATCACGTAAAGGTGTATAAAATGTTAACAGAAAAAGGTGTATAATATTAAAATTGTATAAAATGTAATGATTTAATCACTTCCCAAAAATGACACACAAATAGGACTGTTCTTTCAGACAGAAAGGCTTCACAGTGTTGTGGTCTAAAGTTATTAATTACTACAGCATGATGATTAACTACTCTTGAGAAATTAGGCACTTTCCTACACAATTTATGTCAATCCCATTAGAGTTGTTAATTATCTTAATATTGTCAATTACACAAACATTTCAGACAGTAATGCAGTACATTGGCATAAACCAACTAGACTTTTTTAAAGGAATGTTACTCAGGAATCTTTAAAACAGATGTCAGCTTCCCACACCCAAACTAACATTTTAAGTGCTTTATGTTAGACACATACACACGCATACGCACAATAAACAGCAGTGTTGCTTCCTTATATCCTAAACTTGATTCAAACCTCTAGTGAAGTGGTCATCATTTCTGTGTAAGTATTACACAATAATGTGCTGGAATGTATTTTACATACAATTACACACAGAAATATTGTGTAAGTTGGCATTATGGAATGCTCATTGTTGACATGTGTCTCATAACCTCTACTGTTGGTCTTTATTCCAGTGGCAATGACCTCGTCTATAGCAGACCCTCTCATAAACACAGACTGCTTTGTGAGCAGTTGATCTACTATCCCATGTAGTACTTGGTGGGAACGAATGGCATCTTGCTGACCACTGCCGGCACTGCTTTCTTCCTCACTTCTACCTGGATCGATGTGCCCGCTTTACTGAAGGCGGTTTCCACATAGCCCATGGCAACGTTCTGCTTGAGACAGGGGGACGGGCATCCGCTGGTGACCTCGCCTAAAATAAAACAATTTCAGACAAGTCTGGAATGACGTGAAGGCAAGTAAACAATGTTTAACTCTTCCTTTAAAGCAGACCTAATATTCAAAAATCACTTTTATAAGGGGTTTAAGCACAGTTGTTTGGCAACAGTGTGTGAAAATAGCCAGCCTCCAATGATAAATTCATTAATTAATTCTATATTTTATAATCACACTTGATAAAAACAGACTGTAGAAACACTTTGACTGACATTCTCCCATTGTATATGTCATCAGCAGGGGAAAGCCCCACCCATTATTGACAATCTCTCCCTCATTAGCATAGACAGCCCTGAGTGAGAAGCAGACATCCACCATTAGTTTTGACCTGTTGAAGATAAAGTGAGCAACTAAGAGACATTATAAATGTGGTGTTTTAGGATCCACAAATGAATACAGTATCAGCCACTATGCTGACACACAGATATTTGTAGCTCCACCCTCTTTTGAAAAGAGGGCATGGAGTACAGTCTCATTTTAATTTAAAGCAACAGTCACTAAAACTGCACAATTTTAGCTGGCAGCAAGCTCTCTGCAAGTCTCACATGGTCTAAAGCAAATCATGGATGGTGGACCAAATGGGAAAGTTAGGCGGCAGCCGGAACTGGTGTTAGTGAGGCCAGCTCAACCTGTGGTCTGTGTGGGTCCTAATGCCCCAGTATAGTGAAGGGGACACTATACTGCTCTGTGAGCTCCGTCTTTTGGATGAGACGTTAAACCAAGGTTGAAAATCAAATAAAATTAGGTGTTTAACCATCAAATTTGCCCACTGGCCTCCATCCATCATGGCCTCCCAACCATCCCCATGTCATAATTGGCTTCATCACTCTGTCCCCTCTCCACCGATCAGCTAGTGTGTGGTGTGTGCTTTGAGTGACCAGAAATGCGCTATATAAATGTAAAGAATTATTATTATTATTAATTTGGCTCAAAGCCTAAAAGGGGCAGTTTTAAAGAGTTATTAAAAACATCTGTGTGGTATTTAGAGCTACAATTTCACACACTCTCTAGGGACATCAGAGACTTATTTGACATATTTTAAAAAGAGGCATGATAGGTCCCCTTTAAACACAGATGAGTTTGTTACCTATAACTCTGCCATCAGAGGACAGGATGGGTGTGTGTTGTCTGACAGGGGGTCCAGTGGAGATCAGTCCCACTCTTTTTCTTGGAGTCTTTGCCTTTATTTGTGGTACAATGATGTCAGCGCCAGGAAAATCTCTTGCCTGTCGACGACGCTTACCTTAAATGACACAAACAAAGAGATTAAAGATTAAAGTATGTTTCAGTATGTGGACAGCCGTTTGAGGTTAACTACATCTGACAGTTTGCTTAAAGGCTGATTTAAACTCGATGCGTCCGCTAGTTTGCTTGAGTACACGCAGTGACTGTGATGTCATTGAGGAGTTTGCGGAGGTTCGCTTTGGGTGCGTGCAACATGATTTCGGCTGGCAGAGTGCATGACATTTTTTGAGACTTGAGCGAACAATTTGCGTGGCACAGCATTTAATTTGAGTTAAATATGAATTACTTTGAAGAGATTTTGTCTGAAACAGGTACGCCTGTGCAGACATCTTTATGATTTGTCCATGCCTGATCATAGGAATAACCAAATATCCAACCATTCTAGGCTAGAAATTGCAACAGTAGTGGGAAAGGAGGAAAGTTTTTGTTAAAAAGTTCAGAAAAAATTTGAGGGATACATTTGTTAAAACCAAAAAGAAAAACTGTACAAAAGCACGCACATCCCTCTTAGGTGCAAATTAAATTTTTACCAAACGCTTTGTGTTAGCCTTTTTAATTTAACAAATTTGTACTTTTGGAGCTTTGGTGATGCCGCCTTTGATGAATATTTAAAATCAAAAATAGGTTTTACACAATATATATATATATATATATATATATATATATATATATATATATATACACATATATATACACACATATATATATATATATATATATATATATATATATACATATATATATATATATATATATATATATATATATATATATATATATATATATATATATATATATTACAATACAGAATTCAAGCAATTGAACAATTACAAAACTAAAATGAATTAACAATTTATTTCTTTGATAACTACTAAAAAATATTTGAATCTATCGGTTTACAACAACAGTTTACTGACAATTTACATTATCTTTGTGATAATTGTCAAGAATGGAGTGGTCTACATAAAAATAAAACAGTCAGTATTTTTAAGTAAGTGTACTTTCTTTCCATAATAAAAAAATATATTTGTAGAGCAACCCATGTTTAGTTGTCATTAATCTTTTAATAAACTATACTAGGTAGAATGGTGTGAGATGTGAACAAAAGCAAGTGATGCATTAAAGTTTGATTTAAAAAAATGTAAATAGTTATAAAAATAATTTATAAAAACAATTAGTTTAAAAAAATGTGAATAAAATTATGTTAATGACATGACGTAGTTACATAAACTTCCTTCTTCTGTTTATCCGTCTGATTTTACAGTGGGTTTCTTTTAGATCGCCCCCTGTCATTTTACAGAATATCTCAACAGAGGACGCATCTAGTTTTAAAAGCCTCATCCATTTCGCGAGTTGCGTGTGCAGTCAGCGGAGGTCCGCGATGCAGTGCCAGGCGAAAGTATAACACATAAAAGATTTGTCTATGTCAAGTGTCTGCGGTTTTTTTCTCCAAATATTATGAGCAATAAAAGTTTTATTTGTACTGCTTAAAAATAGGTCTGTGGACATCTTTTAATTCTCGCACTCAAATGCCTGTCAATATCATGGTTTACAGTTTCTGCAATCTTCAGTGGTTTGATGTAATTTCTCTTTCTCTTTTGCTTCTTTTCTGAATGTGAAACAGCATGTTTTAGTTGTTTTTGGCCTACTTTTGGACAACCTTGTAAAATAGAGTGTAATCATGACAACAAATTTTATAGATATGAAAATATAAAATTATAGTGTAATGAAGTAATCTCCTGGATAAGAAACTATACTGCCAACAGGTAGTTGTGAAAGCTTAATGAAAGAGTCAGTTTTAGCTAGATTCAGAACGCTGAAATTCATTCAGCAATACAGTAGACAGAATCATTTGTTCATCCGATTCATTCAAAACACAGATTCATTTAGAAAGGAAATATTCTGAAAGAGTTAAAAGATTTTAAAAAACTAAAAATTAAATGAACAAAAGTAATAATAAATAATTATTACTTTGTGCTTAAAATATAAATAAATGAGAAGCGATAATAAAGGTCTTTACACACCTATAGTCCAGACAAGAGTTGCTTCCACAGGTGTAGTGGTCTCATCAATGTCGTTGCCATAGAGACAAAGTCCCGCCTCCAGCCTAAGACTGTCTCTTGCACCAAGACCAGCAAGTTTCACCTCACTATCAGCTAACAGCTTTTCAGTTAGCGAGACAACCTCCTTACTTGGTACAGAAATCTGAATAATCACATTTATAAAAAAGAATATAACAGTTGACATGCAAGCCCCACATAAATGAACACCAATCACATAACAACAACAAAAAAGTTTAAAACCAGCTACTTATGGCTCCTATCTGATTTCTTTGTTTACAATAATCTCCTCCTAAACTTATCCTGTTGGTGATCGTTTCACTACAAGCATTATTGCCTCTCTCTGCAAACATGTCACCACTATATTTTGGATGCTTGGAATACCAAAAGGAGATATATATCCAGATATTGCATATGTATACAATTTAAAGCCTTATTGAGAAGCGAACATTAAAAAAAGCTTGATCTTGTGTGATTTTTATCTATTATATCTAAAGTGTTTTTTTTTTTTTAAAAACATAGTGATGTAATATTAAAATATAAACACATATAATGTTATTATTATATAATATTGTGAAAAAATCAAATAAGAATATTATAATTAAATATCATAAAATATTAGAATTAATTAATTAGACTATTAAAATACTGTCTATTCCTGTGATAAAAAAACATAGCTTATTTTGGGTATAAATAACATTGACAAAAATAAATAAAAATAACAAAAAATTTTGGTACACTTGTCATTCAATCAAAGCAAAATCATAAAAACAAACCTCAACTCCATCCTCTCCTGTATATCCACAGCGTGTGACCCTGCAGCCCTGGATGCCAAACACTGGGGTCAAAACACTGGTCATAAAGGTCAGCTTCTTAAGGTCATCACCCACACCCTTCTGGAGAACCCGAGCCATTGATGGTCCTAAGTACACAAAAAATAAACTTATAATCTATCAAATGCTCAAATATATAAATACATATTATTGAAATAAAATAAATAGCGTTTTGTTAATGTAAAATATGGGCAGTGTTACACAGACACATGATGACTGACCCTGCAGAGCGATTAGACTTTCTTCCATGAACTCTAAATCAACATCATGACCTGCTGATTTAAACTCTTGCAGTCTGGCCTACGAACAAACACAAGCAAACACAAAGCAGCGGCACAAATAAGCAAATGCATACTTATTTATACAAATTGACAAAATTTAAAGGGATAGATCACCCAAAAAATGAAAATTCACTCAAAATTAACCCACCCTCAAGTAATTCCAAACCATTCTAAGTTTCTCTTTTTCTGTTGAATACAATAGAGATATTTTATGGAATGTAAAAAACCGGTAAAGATTGGCTTCCGTAGGAGGAAAAACAAATACTATGATAGTCGATGGTTGGTTACCATTTTTTAACATTTTTCAAAATATCTTCTTTTGCTTTTTACAAATTTTTTTTTAAATACAATATATTAAGTATAATTTATGTACAAAATATTCAGTTTTGAGTGAACCTTGCCTTTATTATTTATGTTTTAATGCCATATCGGCAGCATTGGAAATATTCAGGAGAAATATTCAACATATAATTTGATCATAAGTTTCTCAATAATAAAAAACAAACAGAAAACGAAACTGATAAAAGGTCATAGAAGATTTTTCAATTTAGTGAATGATAAATATTCTAAAAATCTTCCAGGAGACACCTTTATAAACATTTCCCTTAAAATACATTCTGAATAAAAGCTTTTCTGATATAGTCATTAAAAACGTATTTTCTATTAAAATATGTTTATAAGCAACAAGTTATTATACACATCACAAACTAGATTCTCTTGCCCTTTTAAAAAATATGAGTGGATAAGTCTTAAATGGTTATTAAAATAAGATATTGTGAAGAAAGCTGAAAACCGGTAACCATTGACATCCATTGTAGGAAAATCAAATTCTATGGAAGTAAATGGTTGCAGGTTTACAGCTTTCTTCAAAATATCTTATTTTGTGTTCAATAGATGAAACATGTTTGGTACAAGTAGAGTTAGCAAATAACACAGAATTTTCAGTTTTGAGTGAACTATCCCTTTACTTACAGTATAGTAATTGGACGCCCCCTTGTGGTGTTTAAGTTTAATATAATCTTCAAAATTCCTATATTCCCGTTAATAAATAATATCAGAACACCAAGGTCAACCAGTCAGAAAGTAAATAAGCATGTGTATGTCATTAACTGTTACTGGCCTGCATGTGAGCGGAGTCTTTGTCCGCACAGCCAGCATTGGAGACGACATACAGGTAGTCTTGATCTGTTTTAGTTACAATCAGATCATCCATGATTCCTCCTTTAGAGTTTGTGAAGAGGGACAAAGTGCCCTAAAAAGAAAATATTATTATTATTTTGCATGACTGTTTACATCTCTCATTAGAACGCGAGTATGTTTTACCTGGTTGTCTTTCAGCTCCGCAATGTCTCCAACAATCAGAGACTCAATGAACTTCACTCTGTCTTTACCATAGACTTTAGTCTAGAAAGAGAAAACAACAAATGTTTATTAGATACCATTCGCACGAATACCTCATGATCGTGAATCACCAGCATTGTCCATTATAAATTGTCCATTTTAAATTACTTTTTTTTCAATTATTACAGTTTGTGTTGGGCCAAAAAGAGGTATGTGTTAGTATTTGTTTGCGCGAATATCATAATTATCATTTAACAATGTACAAGCTGACTAACACGCTTGTCACTTACAGTGCTTAGCATATATAAGTACACCCTCACAAATCTCTCTTTTAAATTATATTTTTAATACCAAGCTATACAATAATATATTCATGTATATACATTAGATTAATCAGTACTGAAGCCAAATCTCAAATAATTATGCTGAGCACTGTATATTGCAAAAAAAAAAAATAAATATATATATATATATATATATATATATATATATATCATCTTTAAAGGCCTTCAGTAGGCCTTCAGTGGAATAAAGCCTAAAAGAATAACAAAATCATGATCTAATTACTTTTTTTGTCACATGATCAGCAGTACGTGTACTATGATGAGTGAAAAGCTGAGATGCTGGCTCCAGACCATGCTAAATACATCGACATACTCCAAAAACAAAACAATAAACTATTAGCAATGCTGACAATTAATACGTGAAAGACAATAAATATGCAAAGAAAAACACACATTACACACAAATAGACACAGACAGACAAGTATACAGTCAAAAAGGTGACTGTTGGTGGAAAATTATTATAGGCAATATTGTTTTAAGTAAGGAAGGATACAGTCATAAAGAGCCTTTCATGTAACTGATAATTAATTATTAATATAGTTATCGAATTAACACAACTGCTCAACAAATGAAACATTTATATTAAGCAAGCTATATTTTAGACTTAGGTGTCATTGTGGCACAGTGCGTAGCACAATCGCTTCATAGCAAGAAGGTTGTTGGTTTGAGCCTTGGCTGCCTGGGTCAGTTGGCATTTCTGTGTGTGGAGTTTGCATGTTCTCCCTGTGCTCGTGTGGGTTTCCTCCGGGTGCTCCGGTTTGCCCCACAAGTCCAAAGACGTGGTACAGGTGAATTGGGTTAAGCTAAATTATCCATATGTGTGTAAATGAGGGATGTTTCCCAGTGATGGGTTGCAGCTGGAAGGTCATCCGCTGCGTAAAACAAATGCTGGATAAGTTGGCGGTTCATTCCGCTGTGGCAACCCCATATTAATAAAGGGACAAAATAAAATCCAGACTCAATGTCTTCCTGTTTTGCCAGTTGAAGATTTGTACATCTTACAGTTCTACTGTGCCGTTTCATTCCTGAAGTAGTTTGTTTTTTTAACTAGACATTGGTCACAATGATTCAACAGTTCATTGATAGACAATGCTGGAATCTCAAATTGCACATTTCCTGACTCTACAGGCATGTACATAGGCACAAAATGTTATGTGAAATAGATAAATTCACAGTACTTATAAATTAGAAGGCATAAAGTATCCAGGTGATATGACACTAAAACCATCAATAGTGGGGACAATTCAGAGTATCAGCACAAAAACTGAGCAAAAGAAATGTTGCTATCACGCACCTGTAAGTCCACAACTATTAGGGCTGCACAAAACACAAAAACTGACATGGCACAATTATTTTATCTATGATATTAAACAGCAAAATTGAAAACCATCTCACCAGATGATTTGAATAACCCCATTTTTAAAGATTTTGTTATTTTAGTGTGTTTGCTCCAATTCTGTAGGGGAGTGAATCTGCATCTTACAAGCATAGATAAATAAAACAGCGCAAGGAAACAAGGCTCAATCACAATTCTACTTCTGTACCCCTATCCCTTTCCCTTCACCCCTTAAAACAGTGTATGAAGAAAAAGGGCTTCAAAATTTACCCCTAAGAAATGGGACAGTACTACAACACCTGCACACGTCATCATACTGCATGTCCTCGCGATCTCTTGCTTCATATGAGATCAGATGATGGCGACTGCTCTAGTTATTCCAGTTGTGTTATTTTTTGGTAATTATCTTTAGGAAATCACTGAAGGCATACATTTTGTTATCATAATGATATAATGTGGCAATAAGATCGTAACTATACTGTGTATTTACACAGTGGCCATTCATTCATCTATGTAAACACACCAAAAACAACAATAACATTGTAGAAGACACTGTAAAAAGGTCATTTTCAGCCTCTAGACTTTTCTGACAGGGTATTCGAGTGTCAGAATGTTGTGGGACTGCTATACAGGAGTTTTTATTAGGGATTATAGATAGCGAATTTTAGCGGGTTTTATTTTAGCGCTTTTTTAAAGCATGACGGTAAAACATTTATGCATTTATGAATATTTGATTTGATTAATTTATTTATTTTCGAACAAAAATATGATATATAAAATGTCATTAACAAAAAGAAATACATTTCAACATGGTCGAAAATGGAGCGGGATGAAGCATAAGCTTATTCACCCACCCCATTACCCCATACATCATTCGTTTATTACTTAAACATATTTATTCTTTTACCTATCTCTTCTTTTTACATGAAACTAATTTAATCCTTTTGGCATCTTTGAAAAATAATGTTTAGGGTTAGTATAATAAATATTAGGGTTAATATAATAAATCATGTGCTTGTTTGTTGTAAAAGCTTTGCTGCCGCTGTAGATGGTGTATTCTGGGAAATTTTCTTACCCTTTGGTTTCGAGTGCGGTCCTGAAAAATCTCTGTTCAAAGGGCTAGCTACCCTACCCCTTAGCCCTATGCCTTGAAGCTAAAGAGAATTGGGACACCCCAACTACACAGGAACGCGCAAAACAAGGGGTATGGGTAAGCGCTAAAGGATAGAATTGGGATTGGGCCCAAATATCATTACAATATCGATGCTGAAACAATATACCGTGTAGCACCAACTACAAACACCTACAACATCAGTAGATTTTTACAGTCCAGACTGACCTGTAGCATGTGACTGACATCGAAGATGGAGCAGTGCTGGCGCGTGTGCATGTGTGAGGTAATGTGACTGTCTTTGTATTGCACAGGCATACTCCAACCTGCAAACTCCACCATCTTCCCACCATGAGCCCTGTGGAAGTCATACAGCGGGGTTTTCCTGAGTGTCACCTATGTATAGAAAACAATACATCATCATACTATGAAGTGTTATAAAGTACATTAGTAAGAAAACAACAACAACAGGGCATTGAATTGTTAGAGAATAATACACACCCACTGTGAAAGTGTGCATTAATTCAGCAGACAGCACCTAAAGACATCGCACAGATGTTATATTTCAAGGCAGTCATGTTTTTTCCTAAAACTGCTGCTGTGTGTTGTACTAGTTTCCTTCAAGTTTCTCATTTAAGAATTTAGTTTTGATTTGATGTTTGGCTGTGAAGTAATTTACAAAACTTAAGAGTGTTCATCAGCCAACAAAAAACTAGCATTCAACAGTCTTGTAGTATAAAATAAAATAATGCACGTGCAGCAAGTTTGAGGGATTAATAAGAGGATTCTACAACAAGTTAGATCATGTGCATGAAGCTTAATCTGCTTATGAAAGTGTGTGGCCTTTGACCTCAAGAACTGGTTTCAGCCAGCGAGTCCACCTGTGGCTGCCTCACATTAGGCCACATTAGCCATTTATGTTTTACGAAACCAGTCCAAAGTCAACTAAGCAGTCTGAATGAGAGACCAGAATATTATCTGATCTGAAAGAGAGAGAGTGTGTGTGATTTTATCTTTATTACACACAGTCAAACCAGAGAACTGACAAAAAGTGTGAGCCAGGCAAATTCTTTTAGAAAATATTAATGCTATGATTAGCTGTGATCTCGAGTGATTATAAGGATTATGTGAGGTTTTATTCAGTGTGAAAATTATACATTGACGATCGGGGGTGGAGGGGTCTATTTCTTTTTGGTAGTAGTTTGGTAATACATGCTTCAGTGAATCAAATTCATGAATGTATTTAAATTCCCTCTAATGTATTAATAAAATGTATACCTTTTCAGTGTTTTGAGGGATATTTAGTGACTATTTTAGAGGTTACTGTAGGTCAAACTATACAAATTATGTCTAATTTAGTTTTTTTGGCTACATGCAGATTTAATCACTTATTTTACAAAAAAACGTGTTTGGTTAATACTTAAGATTCTAGAACTGCCAGTTTCAGGCTGTTGAATATTTTCCTAGCATTGATTGGCGCAATTATACATTCACAATGGCATAATCCGTTATGGGGGTATAAACTGTAAATGTTTATTATATACATGTAATTATTAATATTTAAGATAAAGCTCAGAGATCAGTAAAAGCTATTTCTCACTATTAAAGGGCTGACCCCCCATACATCTGGTTTTGACGTCCTTTGAGGGATCAAGCGTTAATTAGGGGGGTCAATATACCAAACCCCCCTGTAATTCGCACCCTGGTTTTATTTCCTCCACACTATATGAACACTGTAAATTATATATTAATAGAAAAGGTCTCAGCAAAATAAACCCCTAATATAAATAATTGTTTATAAAATCATATACATCACACCTTAAAATGCTAGACAAATATCACGTGACTTTAATTGTTGTCCACGTTTGTTGCTGTTGTATGTTTAATGCCAACTAAAATATAAAATGGGTAAAATTACGGTTACTGGTAATCAGAACTTCCAAAAGCAAGTAATTTTCACAAACTTGTATAAAATATTCTTCAATTCTTCATGCAAAATGACTTCTTTGTCGTAACTGATAATATTAACTGAAAGACTATTTGGTTAATCCAAAAGTTGTAGCCTGTGTGCCAAGTGAAGTAAACTACAAATACTCCATGTGAAGTGTGTGTGGAGCAGTGAACCCTAGGTAGGGATCCTGTATGAATGGGGACGCAGTCTGTGTGTTTTTTCAGTCAGTATTTCACAACTCTGAACGAATGAACGCTCCCGTGCTCTCAATTAGACAGCAGCTCGAGCGGACAGAACAGCAGATGTTCCCTGTGCATGAACGACACTCTGAGCCAGAACCGACCCCTAAAACCTCAAGAATACAACAGATACCCAAAACCTCAAGATAAAATGTACCGATTGCAAACTTAATATTCCCAAACTTTGCAGGAAACGATCTTTACTCTTTAACTGCGGCTCCATAAAGTATTTGCTTAATTTTCGCGTCTGCATATCTGCTGATGTTTTAATGATGCGGTTTCGCGCATACCTCTGTGGAAGCTTGTCTGTCCTGCCGCCCCGTTGCTCCGAGTCCGACAGCCCGCGTGCTTTCCCTTGAAAGTCGCTTACACAGTCCTTTCGCAAAAGCCCGCGCGAGCATGTTGTGTTTGGTTGAGTTTGACAGCAGTTGTTCAACGCAGACAGACAGCAAACTGTCAGCTCGTTTGATCTCGACTCTTCACACTAGTAAATCTGCTTTCACTGCAAAACAAGCAGAGCAAATTCAGCGGAATCATGGGAAATGTAGTTGGAATTCCTGACGTACACGTGCAGTTGAGACATTCCCACAGACACTTCAATAAAACTTCTGACGAACGTTCCTTGTTTGTGAATACCTGGAACAAAATCAGGAATTGGATTGTTTTTTTAATACTTTCGATGACAACATATTTAGGAAAATGGCACTTAAGTTGCACTCAGTTTTCGATATGCTATGCTATGGAGCCCGTTCCTGCCACAAAATTTTATGTTAAGCAAAATTTTATGTTAAGCATATATCTGACAAGTATACATGATACATGATTATATGATAACATATGTAATTAATGAACTACATTAAATAAAAATACTACATTACGAAGGGATCCATCATTAAAATTATTAGATTGTAAAGCTTTTTTTCATTATAAGAGATGTTTATATAGCCTTCTTGTTTCTTGTTATTAATGTCAAAGAATTATAAAATGTTATTAAATCTTTAATTAAAAATAAAGAAGGAAGTAATAGACATTACTTTTGCCTTGTGTATGTGAAACTTCCCAAGAAAAATAATTTCAACGCATTATCGAGTGTATCATAGCCAGTTTTACAACTCAAAAAAAAAAGAATCATGCATTGCATTAGTCAAAGTTAATTATTTTGTAAAATGAATCAAAAATCAACCCTGAAACATGTTTTCAAAAATCATTAGAATTAATTAAAAAATTGCTACAATTTATCTCAAAATTGTGTGATACAAACTCAAAATTCTGCCTTATTTTCTTGTGAGTAAATTCTGAGTTCTAAGGTCAGAATTCTGAGAAATCAAGTCAAAGCTGTCTCACTGTTTCAGTTTTTTTTTTACTTTGTAACACCTTTTTACTGTGATCAATTAAATGTATTTTTGATTAATGAAGTATTTAAAATACTGTATATATTTAAATTACTCTTCAGTGTCATCATAAAACAGTAAATCTTTCTTGATCGTCCTATTAGGATTGTTTCTGAAGAATCATTTGGAACTGAGTATTAGCGCAATAATGCTGAAAAATTTAGCTTTAACACTATACAGGAATTAAAGGCATGTTACAATTTATTCAGACAGAAAACTTTGCAACAATAATATTTCACATTATATACATTATTATATTTGTTTTGTATTGTATTCTTAATTTAAAATAGACCTACGCTTGCAAAAGGGATTTCATTCAGAATGCTGGATCATTACATAATAAAACACCAGTGTGTTTTAGTTATAGTAGCTATGTGCTGTGGTTATTGTGTTAAGACAGGCTGCAGGGGCCTCAACTGTGCAATCTTGTTTTAAATTAATTCTCCATTATCATTTGCAATTTCAACAATCACCAATCATTTACCAGCAGGAATAAAACTGTAAAGTGCAAGTGCTGTTGATGAGCAGATTTATTTATCAATGCCAAATGCTGCCTTCTAAATACTAAAGTTGACATCTACAAATACAAATGAATCAAGCGAAAAAAGAAAGGCTTAGTGCATTTTGGGACCGCAGTCAAGTGAGCCGCCATATGAGAACAACCGGTCAAGCTAGCCACCTCCAGTATTTTAATGCACTTCTGTTTGAGGAATTACGGTACAGAAGCTAGGGCAGTCAAAAATCTCACAAAGACAAATATTTCAGCGGTTATTGGCCAAATGTGTCTAGTAAAAAGAAAACATGCATTAATTAAATCATAAATGTACCTTTTAAAATAAATATGAAAATATAGAACATTGAAATACATTTATTGCAGATTTTTTTGGAGTTTTGCAAAAGTCTGCCAGAATAATTTAACACTGATTGAATTCATGCTTTTTTCACTGATATTAATAATTGCTTTAGACTTGACATGACATTTATGCCAATTTACAAGGCAAAAACAAAATGAAGTCTGCAAAAACATCTGTTTTTTTTACTGCTATTGCTGAGAATTCTGCCATAGTTGACATAAAATATTCAATTAATTCTATTTCAGGATGACCTTGAATCAATTTCCATGCCAAAGGTGATTGGCATTTACAGCTGAATATGGCGGAAAAATAAAGGCAAAGTCTGCAAGAATACATCACTGATCATTTTCTGCTTTTTATACATGTACTAATAAAATTTCTTCACAGTTGACAAGACATTTCAATAAATTCTAATTCAGGATGACCTTGATTCTTTCCATGGGAAATTTTATTGGCATTTACAGCTGAATTTGGCAGAAAAATAAAGTATGGAGAAGTACATTACATCACTGATAATTTCTTGCTTTTTCTACTGCAATAATAAAAAATTCTTCAAAGTTGACATGAAATAATCATTGAACTCTCATTAAGGAGGACACTGACTCTTTACATACCAACTTTCACATAGAAATACTGCTTAATTTGGCAGAAAAATAAGGACAAAGTCTGTAAAAATATTACATCATTGATCATTTCCTGCTTTTTCTACTGCTATAACTAAAATTCCTTCAGAGTTGACATGAAATAATCAATAAATTCTCATTTGGGAGGACACTGACTCTTTACATACCAACTTTCATATAGAAATACTGCTGAATTTGGCAGAAAAATAAAGATAAAGTATGGAGAAGTATATTACATCACTGATCATTTCTTGCTTTTTCAAGTCATATAATTAAAAATTCTTCAGAGTTGACATGAAATAATTAATAAATTCTCATTTAGGAGGACACCGACTCTTTACATTCCAACTTTCATATAGAAATACTGCTGAATTTGGCAGAAAAATAGAGACAAAGTCTGCAAAAAAAATTACATCACTGATCCTTTCTTGCTTTTTCTACTGCTATAAATAAAATTCCTTCAGAGTTGACAAGAAATAATCAATGAACTCTGAATTAGGATGGCCTTGAACCTTTACACACCAACTTTCATACAGAATTACTGCTGAATTTGGCAGAAAAATGAAGGCAAAGTCTGCAAAAAAAAAAATTACATCACTGATCATTTCCTGCTATTTCTACTGCTATAACCAAAATTCCTTCAGAGTTTACATGAAATATTTCATAAATTCTCATTTAGGAGGACACTGACTCTTTACATACCAACTTTCACATAGAAATACTGCTGAATTTGGCAGAGAAATAAAAAGTATGGAGAAGTATATTACATCACTGATCATTTCTTGCTTTTTCAAGTCATATAATTAAAAATTCTTCAGAGTTGACATGAAATAATCAATAAATTCTCATTTAGGAGGACACTGACTCTGTACATACCAACTTTCACATAGAAATACTGCTGAATTTGGCAGAAAAATAAAGAAAAAATATGCAAAAGTACATTACATCACTGATCATTTCTTGCTTTTTCTACTGCTATAATTAAAATTCCTTCAGAGTTGACATGAAATAATCAATGAACTCTAAATCAGGATGGCCTTGACTCTTTACACACCAACTTTCATACAGAATTACTGCTGAATTTGGCAGGAAAATGAAGGCAAAGTCTGCAAAAAAAATTACATCACATCATCTTCTGCTGTATTTACCTGTACTATTAAAATTCTGTTAGAGTTGACAAAAAATGTCTAATTAATTCTAATTCAGTATGCCCCTGACTCTCCCCATGCCAACACTCTTTGTGATTTACAGCTGAATTTGGCAGAAAAATAAAGATAAAGTATGGAGAAGTACATTACATCACTGATCATTTCTTGCATTTTCTACTGCTATAATTAATAATTCTTCAAAGTTGACATGAAATATTCAATAAATTCTCATTTAGGAGGACACTGACCCTTTACATACCAACTTTCACATAGAAATACTGCTGAATTTGGCAGAAAAATAAGGACAAAGTCTGTAAAAATATTACATCATTGATCATTTCCTGCTTTTTCTACTGCTATAATTAAAAATTCTTCAGAGTTGACATGAAATATTTCATAAATTCTCATTTAGGAGGTCACTGACTCTTTACATACCAACTTTCATATATAAATACTGCTGAATTTGGCAGAAAAATAAGGACAAAGTCTGTAAAAATATTACATCATCGATCATTTCTTGCTTTTTCTACTGCTATAACTAAAATTCCTTCAGAGTTGACAAGAAATAATCAATGAACTCTGAATTAGGATGGCCTTGACTCTTTACACACCAACTTTCATATAGAATTACTGCTGAATTTGGCAGAAAAATGAAGGCAAAGTCTGCAAAAAAAAAAATTACATCACTGATCATTTCCTGCTCTTTCTACTGCTATAACCAAAATTCCTTCAGAGTTGACATGAAATAATCAGTAAATTCTCATTTAGGAGGACACTGACTCTTTACATACCAACTTTCACATAGAAATACTGCTGAATTTGGCAGAAAAATAAAGATAACGTATGGAGAAGTACATTACATCACTGATCATTTCTTGCTTTTTCTACTGCTATAATTAATAATTCTTCAGAGTTGACATGAAATAATCAATGAACTCTGAATCAGGATGGCCTTGACTCTTTACACACCAACTTTCATACAGAATTACTGCTGAATTTGTCAGGAAAATGAAGGCAAAGTATGCAAAAAAAATTACATCACATCATCTTCTGCTGTATTTACCTGTACTATTAAAATTCTGTTAGAGTTGACAAAAAATGTCTAATTAATTCTAATTCAGTATGCCCCTGACTCTCCCCATGCCAACACTCTTTGTGATTTACAGCTGAATTTGGCAGAAAAATAAAGATAAAGTATGGAGAAGTACATTACATCACTGATCATTTCTTGCATTTTCTACTGCTATAATTAATAATTCTTCAAAGTTGACATGAAATATTCAATAAATTCTCATTTAGGAGGACACTGACCCTTTACATACCAACTTTCACATAGAAATACTGCTGAATTTGGCAGAAAAATAAGGACAAAGTCTGTAAAAATATTACATCATTGATCATTTCTTGCTTTTTCTACTGCTATAATTAAAAATTCTTCAGAGTTGACATGAAATATTTCATAAATTCTCATTTAGGAGGACACTGACTCTTTACATACCAACTTTCATATATAAATACTGCTGAATTTGGCAGAAAAATAAGGACAAAGTCTGTAAAAATATTACATCATTGATAATTTCCTGCTTTTTCTACTGCTATAATTAAAATTCCTTCAGGGTTGACATGAAATAATCAATAAATTTTCATTTAGGAGGACACTGACTCTTTACATACCAACTTTCACATAGAATTACTGCTGAATTTGGCAGAAAAATTGAGACAAAGTCTGCAAATTTAGATATATTTTTTTATTAATTCTAATTGAGGATGACATTGACTCTTTCCATGGCATTTTTTTATTTAGATTTAAATTTACAGCATTTACAGCTGAATGTTTTTAGAAAAATAAAGTGTGCAAGAGAACATTTTGCAGAAGGAAAAAAGATTTATGCAAAACCAATGTTAACCAACTTAAAACGCAGGTTCAGTCATTAGGCCAAAATCATTTACTATGATTTACAAGTTAAAAAAGTTTTCTGAAGCTTGTGGAAATTTGTCTTCAGAATGTTTTTAATTTAAACAGTAGGCTATAGCCTACGTTGCTTTTTTAAGCCTATATGCACGATTTCCAAAGTGTTTTGAGTATAATGTTAAAAGTAATTTTTTAAAAATAAAAGTAATCACTTTTGTTCAATTTAATTTCTGAAACCAAAAGTAATTTTTTAGATAATAAATAAATCATTTGTATCTAGGCTATATAAAAGTAAATGTTATTGTAAATGGTTTTTATTTTGTTAACAATATAGAAAAATATGGAAGATTCTTAATAATATAAAAAGAAAGTAAACATCATTCATTCATTCATTCATTTTGCATAGTCCCTGACTAATCAGGTCGCCACAGAAAGGACATATCTTTCAATGTAAATTAAGTAGGCTAAGAAAAAGATGAACCAATGTAAGCAAATAAGCTATTAGTTTGTCCTCAAATGTCCTCATGCAAGTCATATTGCAAAAAATGAAATTGAATTAAAAAAAAATTGTAGACTAGGGCGTAAGGTGGTGCAGTGGGTAGCATGATTACCTCACAGCAAGAAGGTCGCTGGTTCAAACCTCGGCTTGGTCAATTGGGATTTCTGTGTGGAGTTTGCGTGTTCTCCCCTTGTCCTTGTGGGTTTCCTCAGGATGCTCCAGTTTCTCCCACAAGTCCAAAGATGTGCTATAGGGGAATTGAGTAAGCTAAATTGGCCATAGTGTATGTGTGATTGGATGTGTAAGGGTGTTTCCCAGTGATGGGTTGCAGCTGGAAGGGCATCCGCTGTGTAAAACGTGCTGGATAAGTTGGTGGTTCATTCCATTGTGGCGACCCCGTATTAATAAAGTGACTAAGCCAAAAAGAAAATGAATGTATAAAGAATATGAAATTAGGTGTGTTGTAATGTATTTTAAGATACTTTATATAAAATGTTTACCATAAAACCGTCTGAAACTTGAAATAGACAGAATCTTATTTTTAAGAGTATTTATCAAAAACATCATGTTAACACCAAAGCATAAAAAGCCATAAGAAAAAATTCTGTTATAATCAGTGATGCATGTTGGCAGTCAAGGTCATTTTGAAGAATAAATTGTTGAACAATTCTTGTCAAATGAGAGAATTTCAATAAATAGCAGTAAAAAAGCAGGAAACGTTCAGTAATGCATTATTGGAGATTTTTATATTTAATTTTCTGCCAAATTCAGTTGAATAGCCTAGAGTTAATATGTAAAGAGTCAGTGTCATACTAAATTAGAATTTATTTATTATTTTCTGTCAACTCTGAAGAAATTTTAATAATAGCAGTAGAAAAGCAAGAAATGATCAGTGATGTAATGTACTTTTGCATATTTTTTCTATATTTTTTTTGCCAAATTCAGCAGTATTTCTATGTGAAAGTTGGTATGTAAAGAGTCAGTGTCCTCCTAAATGAGAATTTATTGATTATTTCATGTCAACTCTGAAGGAATTTTAATTATAGCAGTAGAAAAAGCAGGAAAGGATCAGTGATGTAATTTTTTTGCAGACTTTGTCTCCATTTTTTTTGCCAAATTCAGCAGTATTTCTATATGAAAGTTGGTATGTAAAGAGTCAGTGTCCTCCTAAATGAGAATTTATTGATTATTTCATGTCAACTCTGAAGGAATTTTAGTTATAGCAGTAGAAAAAGCAGGAAATGATCAGTGATGTAATATTTTTACAGACTTTGTCCTTATTTTTCTGCCAAATTAAGCAGTATTTCTATGTGAAAGTTGGTATGTAAAGAGTCAGTGTCCTCCTAAATGAGAGTTCAATGATTATTTCATGTCAACTTTGTAGAATTTTTTATTATTGCAGTAGAAAAAGCAAGAAATGATGAGTGATGTAATGTACTTCTCCATACTTTATTTTTCTGCCAAATTCAGCTGTAAATGCCAATAAAATTTCCCATGGAAAGAATCAAGGTCATCCTGAATTAGAATTTATTGAAATGTCTTGTCAACTGTGAAGAAATTTTATTAGTACATGTATAAAAAGCAGAAAATGATCAGTGATGTATTCTTGCAGACTTTGCCTTTATTTTTCCGCCATATTCAGCTGTAAATGCCAATCACCTTTGGCATGGAAATTGATTCAAGGTCATCCTGAAATAGAATTAATTGAATATTTTATGTCAACTATGGCAGAATTCTCAGCAATAGCAGTAAAAAAAAACAGATGTTTTTGCAGACTTCATTTTGTTTTTGCCTTGTAAATTGGCATAAATGTCATGTCAAGTCTAAAGCAATTATTAATATCAGTGAAAAAAGCATGAATTCAATCAGTGTTAAATTATTCTGGCAGACTTTTGCAAAACTCCAAAAAAATCTGCAATAAATGTATTTCAATGTTCTATATTTTCATATTTATTTTAAAAGGTACATTTATGATTTAATTAATGCATGTTTTCTTTTTACTAGACACATTTGGCCAATAACCGCTGAAATATTTGTCTTTGTGAGATTTTTGACTGCCCTAGCTTCTGTACCGTAATTCCTCAAACAGAAGTGCATTAAAATACTGGAGGTGGCTAGCTTGACCGGTTGTTCTCATATGGCGGCTCACTTGACTGCGGTATTTTACGGTGTTTTCTGTTTTCTTTAGATTAAAACAATCCCATGAAAAAAATCTAAACTGCCAGGTGCATGAAAAGTTTTTACAAATTACACTCACTTTTCAGAAAACATCTTTGTTCATTCAACCAGTCACTTTTTTTGATCCACGAAAAAGAATCACAAGAGTTGTTCGAGAATCCGACAACATCGGTCAATAGAATCGGCACGAGTCATTTATCCGGGATTCGATAAAAATCTGGACCTGTGCAATGTAATTTCTCATATTGTACAAAGCTGCTTTGCCTAGTTTGCGCATAATTTAGATTATATTTTTACATCAACCTTATATATAAATTTGCACATTAAATTATAAACAATTAAGCATTTTATCTCACCAATATCAAGTTTTACAGTCTGTATCACAATTTAGACCGTCTGCATAGCTGAATGATTGTTTGGCTTCAAATCTATAAATAACCGTTCTTCTCCTCCATGAGGCTGCAGCTATTTTGGGTGTGGGGATTTTGGGCTGTGTGTAGGGGTAGAGGTGCCAGGCGGACCAGACGGACACAGATCCTTTCAGACCAAATGTGAAGACCGACCAAATCACGGCGGGTTTGACTCCCTTTTTTCGTTGTTTGTCAACAACAAGAGCGCACACGGACGTCTGCTAGCGTTTGATGAAGAGACAGTCTGAGGTAGGTCAACACTTTGTAGAGAGAGACTTAAAACACTTCAAATGGGATCAGTCTATTAACGAGTTGGTTTATTGACTAAATGTTGCTCATTCTACGCAGTTTCCTAAGACTTAAAATGAGCTGAAAATATGTTTTGAGTTATTGAACAATATCAACCAAGTGAACATCCCTGTGTTAATATAGCTGTTTTCAGTCTTTGCAAACGTACACCAGTTTTCAGTCTTGCACTAAACGTGGCTAAACGTTCGTATTAGATAAATATAGCTGTTCAGAAGCTACATCACAACAACACATGTAATGTTTATCATACTGAACACCAATAAGTTGCACTGTAGTTAATTTAGTATCTGATTATTAAAAATGATGATGATAGTAATATATAACCAATCAAAATTTTTTCTATGAAATAGTTAACACAAATTATTCACTCTCATCTCAGTCCAAACTCACAGGAATATGTACATTCTAAACAATGTCTGAAATTTTGTTTTACTTAGTGATAATTTATTTCTATCGCTTGCTGAATTTCTCATTTTTATGCCATTTTGAATAAAGGTGTCTACAAAATAATCAAATATACATATTATTTGACAAGATTCTAAATATAGTTCATAAGCCTTATGGCCAGGGTGCAAATTACAGCGGTTTATATTTACATTATTTAAAGAATAGATGTAGCCTAAAAGTAAAGTAAAATTAGATGCAGAGTTTGAATATTGTGAGCTATTAACCTCTGAAATAATCATCTGAAATATATCAGAATACATTTAATATTCCTCAGCACACTGAAAACCTAAATTCGTCCTATTAATAAATTTGATGTCAAATAATTAGATAAATTAGATTCACTGAGAACGTAACAAAAAAAGTCAACCCCCCTGATCGTCAATGTATAAATCGCACACTGCTTTTGGCCCACTTTTGAGGTGCGTCTGTGTCCTATATTGATGCTTGAAAGCTCCAGTCCCCATTCACAGTCACTGCAGGGAGGAAAAGAGACCAGTGAATCATTTTTGGAAGAAATCAAACAGTTTGGATTTACATGACTTAAGGATAGAAGATATTGATTTTTGAACATTGTTCTGAATCTTAAATCAGCTCTGCATTCTCTGTCTTTATCTCAGTGGCGGGAGTGATCATGAATTCCACTTCTCCTCCTCCAGCGTTTGTTCGTGTCAGCGAGCGAGACTTGACAGAGATTGAGCTCTATTCAGTAGACTCCATCAATGACCTGCACCGCACACACTCTGAACAGCACAGCAAAGGTATGTCAAAGAACATACATCATTTCAAATGACTTCAAAATGACAACTCAGTCCTACCTCTCACTGTCAGGTGTTCAGCCTCCTCGTCCACCTCCTCCTTCCACCAATGGGAACCTTCAGATGCAGGATCGGCCAGTTGTTTATCAAACCGGTCAGGCAGATAGAAGGCCCTGCGTGAGCAGACTGAACCACATCCTCACTTCCACTCGGAGGAACTATTTCTTAACATGTGCAGTCATCACAGCGTTCCTCCTGACTCTTATTCTAATCTTTAGTTTTCTAGGTAAGAAATCTGACATTTTAAATGATAAACTCTTTTGGCTTCAGTTCAAGGTATGCTCAATTGACAGCTAATGTGGCAAAATATTATCTTACACATCATGAGAACACACAAATGGTTAAATTTAAAAGGATAAAGGGTGTGTTCACAAATGTAGTTTGGTTCTCTTGGTTCTTTTGGACCAAAAGAGAAAGCAATACATAGTGCAGAATTCACACTGTCATTTTTAAGACCAAGCCAAACTGAAATGAACTATAGTGGTTAAAAAACCAAGTATGTTGGAGCATCCTGTCTTTTCACAGTCACGTCTTGTAACGATATTGTCATTTGGTTAGATACCTTTGGTTCATGTTGTATTTATATTTCAATCAAACCAAGTTTATTTAGAAGCAGATTGAGATCCATGGTTTTAATGATCTTGGTCTGCTTATCTGTGCACTAAAGGCAAGGGCACTCCCAGTTGATGTTAAACAACTAGCACAGAGGAAAACCCAACTGCGATGTCTTCTCATGTATAGACCAAAAAGCTACACGCTAACACCAAAAGTACGGCAAAAAAGAGCGTGCTCTGCGTCTGCGTGAGAGTACATGTCTTAAGTTGGTTTTCTCATTACACAAAGGGAAACTGTTTGATGAAATGTGCGCAAAGAAAGTAAGAACCATTTTCACAATACTTCTCACTCACCACAGAGGGATTTATTCTGTGCAAAATGATAATCTAATTATCCATATCACTTGCAAATATTTGACAAATGCAGTGAAAATGCAGTCGGTTTCTTTGTTTTCTCACTTTATTTTAACTGTTTACTTGGTTACATATTGTTTCTCTTGCTCTGGGGTGCATTTTCAAAACAACAACATAACTTGCGGCTGAACTATTATAGTATGATGCATCATTTGGCAAAATAACGATATTGTGATGAGTGTTTCCCAAAACCGTAGTTTCTCTGTCTCAGATCCATCATTTGAACCAGGTTAGTTATAACACACATACATTTAAAAAAACAACAACATTGGTTTTGGTAAAAACATGCACTCGTTTTCCATATTAATTGAAATAAATGTAAACAACACTTATAGGACCTATATATGTTTCCTTTACAAATATTAACAAGAACATTCCATATAAAATCACTTGGCTAATACATATTCTAATCCTATGTATAAATAATAAAAATTGTTAATGGTTAGGCCTAATTTACAGAAGGCTATTTATTAACAAATGAAAAAAAATCTTACTTGTATAATATAATAATAAATATTATTATCATTAATTATTATTATAAGGGCATTCATTCATTCATTTATTTACTTTTCGGCTTAGTCCCTTTATTAATCAGGGGTTGCCAAAGCGGAATGAACCGCCGACTTATCTAGCATTAGTTTTACGCAGCGGATGCTCTTCCAGCCGCAATCCATCACTGGGAAACCCATACACACTCATTTACACACTATGGACAATTTAGCCTACCCAATTCACCTGTACTGCATGTCTTTGGACTGTGGGGGAAACAGGAGCACCCGGAGGAAACCCACGCGAACGCAGTGAGAACATGCAAACTCCACACAGAAACGCCAACTGACCCAGCCGAGGCTTGAACCATGCAACCTTCTTGCTGTGAGGCGACAGCACAACTTACTGCGCCACTGCGTCACCTTTAATTATTATTATTAAGTAGGATATTTTTTATTGTTTTTATTATATTTTTAAAAGTCTACTTTTACAACTTTGACACATTCAAACCACTGCAGATGTGTTCTAACCAGCAGGCCCATGTCATATACAAATTCATAAATAAGCTACTATGAATTAAAACCATTAACGTATGCTATATATTTTGTTTTTATAAGCTTTGGAGACGACGTAAATTCCACTTTTAAATAATTGGTCACCTATAGCTGTTGTCATGAGCCATGGCTGCATTCAAAATGGCATAAATGTTTTCAAAGTACACTATGAAGGGAACGCTATTGTCAATATGAAGACCGCTAAAACTGAACTGTAATATACTTTGAAAGCAAATTTCACCTAAGAGAGATGACCTTAATGTTTTTTTTTTTTTTAAATCATTCCAAGTTTAAATTGTAGCATGCTCTAAATTAATAGGGCATAAGGAATAGAACACAGGCATGAACTATGCTTCTAACTACAGCTCGAGAGGTGTAGTTGCTAGCGTACACGTTTACGATGTGGTTTGCAAATGTTCATTGTAACGATGGATTTGGGAAATGCCAAATCAACAAATTATGTAATGACAGAACTTCCATCAGCAGCCAACTAAGGTCGCTTTTCGAAAATGCACCCGATTTGTTGCTAAATAACAAAGCAAACTAAGGAGTGATCTCCTTAGTTGATGACCTTCAACGATTACATGTTGAGCCGGTTTCCACCCAACAAAAGGAAACGTGTGCAACACATAAAAAAAAAGTATATATAACAATATATAGTATATATATAACTATATATACAATAACCAACCGTCAGCTTGGTGTGTTCTGGCCTTTAGGTTCAGATGGCAAGCATTCACACTTATTCAGATGAACCAGATTAACAGAGCTTATTAGTTTGATTCAATTGCACCAAACATACCAATTGTAAATGCACCCTTTCTAAATTAGAAATTATTTTAAGGTGTATTTCCACTGCAGGGTACAATGTGATTTGTTCAGGTACAGCTTGGACCTACAACCAATATTTTACACGTCACAGTTTAAGTGGATCATCAAAATAGTGTTCATTTTTCCACTGAAGCTGTCAACAGAGTTTTTTTTATATATTTAACTGGAAACCGTATTAAACCTGAAATATTACTTAGGGCTGTGTTTCTCAACCATGTTTCTGGAGGACCACCAGCGTTGCACATTTTCTATGTCTTCTTAACCAAACACACCCAATTCATACCAGCTCATTAGCAGATACTAAAAGACCTGTAATGGACATGAAAGACAAAGGAAACATCTAAAACATGCAGTGTTTGGTGGTCCTGAAGGAACGTGGTTGAGAAACACTGAATTAGAGGGTCTGTTAAATGGTAATTTCTTCAAATAACGTGTGTTTTCTGTCACTGTTCCTCCAGTCCAGCAGAGCAGGGCTCTCCACATACTTACAGAGATGGTGAAACAGGAACGGGAAACAGTTGAAGACATCGCTCAGCTCTTAAAACGACACATTAACCTCACAGAGCAGCGACCATAACATACAAATACAAACCCACAGCGAAGACGCTGTACTGCACTGAGAGAAGAGCACTAATTATGAGTCCACTACTGATCAAAAACGGTCTTTGTCATTAAGGTTTATTTCACGGATCTTAAACAGCCTGCTCAAGAACATTCAATTCATTGGTTTAGTTGTGTGCAGAGTAACTGGACAATAGTAGTTATGCGTTTTTTCAATACGTATACACTTTTCTGGAACTTTCTACAGTAGTTTCACCACAGCAGATGATAATATAAAACAACTAGGAAATACTGAAAGGCTATTAATAATCTTACTCGTATATTGTCACTACATCAAATGGTACTTTGTGATATAAAAATGCTTTATAAATGACATTTTAAATGAGCAAGCACATCCCACTATTGTGAGTGATTGCAGAATGACTGTAAATAATTATTTAAACCATGATGTTCTGTTTGATAAACAAAAATATTAAAATAAACAATAAAATCTGGCACTGTAAACATTTTCTTCACTGGGAAACTGATTTTTAACAATACCTGATAACTTTAAAAGATAGATTCGTTGAGAACTCCAGGATGTTGATTGATTTTGAGTTTCTTGTTAACCAATTTATTTGCATAAATCCAATTTCTAAAACAGTAGTGTGATTTGTGTAAAAAAACTTCATTAAACGAGGCTGTGCAAAAATTCCTCCAATCAGATAACTGCAGAGAGCCAGTATCCGCTTGTTAAGTGCGACGTCAACCGAATCGGCTTTCGGGTCCAAGCCATCAATCAAACTGTATGGGGACACTCAACAAATGTTAGTAATAATAAACGTCAACAAAGCAATGTAATACTTTCAAAAATCACGATTGCAATATATATACCCATGCTTAATATCCGGTAGTCAGAAAGTGATAATTTTTTTATAAATTGTTAAAATGTTGAGGTCTGTAATGCAAAAAGTCGAGAGACTGTTAATGTGTGATATGACTAAAAAGTGCTCATAAACGAATATTTTCTCAATTCAAATTAGTGGTTTCGACCCGGAAACAGTATTCCATACATCATGACTTAACAAGCGGACATCATGACTTTCCTACACTCTTGAAATTTGAAATATTGTATATTGTTTATATAGTTACTAACTGCTCTAATTAAATTGTTTTATATTTCGCTTTGATTTAAAATTTGATATCATTCACAATGTTTTCCATGATTTTTGAATTCTTTCCCCATTAAAACACTCCACTTTTTTTGATGTAGGCACATTTTAGTATAGTTCCTAGCCATAACGACATAGAATATAGCAACTTTTCTTTTTCTGTCGGTCTTAGTTTCAGATGTAACTACAGAAGGGTTAAGTGTAAAGTGATTTGAAATTATCTTTTTTATTTAATGTTGATGTAATCTCAACAGAAACATTAAGAGAGGGTGGGGCATAGAATAGCTGCTTTAAAAAAAGCTCTGCCGTTAAAAGTGGTTGAGCTCAAGCACATCAAATGAAAAGCCAATAAGAAGCGTCTTGAAGGGGGTGGGGCATTTTAGAGGGCATTTGATAGGTCGAGATTTGATGAGAAATTTAGATATAAGGTGACCTGAAAAAAAAGAATTGATCCATTTTGGTGGAAATGACAGACTACAAGCTTTACTTGTTTAGATCAGCTAAATGTGTTTTTTGTTCTGTTTTAGAGCTCACTAGCTTATATATATCTTAAAACTAACATATTGATGCTAACATTTCAAAAACTTTGAATTTAAATATTTCATATTTCACAATTATCAAACTATTTTTTTTTTTTTTGAGCCAGATGCTAATAGTCTAATCCAATTCAATGATTTATACTAAACTAAGCTAAATGTGTCCCTGCTAAATCCAGACAGTGACTGAATGAAAATCAAAAATGGTAAAACTCAATAGTTTAACTGTGGGGGACACGTAAAATTTGCATATTTCCAAGAAAGTGGAGCGTTCCTGTTAGTACAGTTCTGTACTTTTGCCTTTTCTCAGATTTTTCGAACACATCTTTGTTTATAATCAGAGATGAAGTCCAGAAATTATGTGTTTTTAAGAAATTCTATGCTCACACTTTTCTCCACTCCATCCTTCATAACAGACACACTTGAACTTTGACCTCATGTCACTGAGAGAAAGGGCATCATGGGGACCAAGTAGTGGGATCATGTGATGTGAGTGAGGGTCCCATCGAGAGCAGCGTCCCTGGGCGTTGCACAGTCTCTCACTGCAGTTCGTCACTCCGGCCCGCAGGGCGGTGATATACTCTCCTAATACTGAACTCAGGTAATCACGCAAGAGAGTGCACTGATGCTAGAGGAAAACAGAGCAATTATATTATGAGTTAATGAGGCAAGTGTGCAAGGTCTAAGTTTAAATGCTACGTCTAAGGCCCAATCCCAATTCTATTTTTATACCCCTTCCCCTTGACCCTCGAAACAGAGTGTGAAGGGGAAGGGCTTCAAAAATTTACCCCTAAGAAATGGGACAGCACTGCAACACCTGCACACATCATCATATTTCATCACAAGCTTGTACTGCCCATAAAATTGGCGATCAAGACTACTGTAGTTCTTCCAGTTGTGTTATTTTTAGCTATTTATAATGTTATCGTAATGATATAATGTGGCAATAAGATCTTAACTACACTGTGCATTTACATCATGGCCATATTTTATGGAAACACATGAAAACAACATCAACATTATACCAGACACTGGAAAAAGCTCATTGCCTTTTCTGACAGGGTATTCGAGTATCATCGAGTGTCAAAATGTTGTGGGACTGCTGTACAGGCGTTTTTAGGAAATACGGATAGCAAAATTTAGCGTGCTTTAAAAATAAAAAACGTGTTTTTATTTTAGCGTTTTGTTTTTTTTAAGCAAGATGGTCAAACATGAAAGTGGTTAATATTATATATCAAAACAAATGCTTGTTTGTTGTAAAACTTAATTATAATGACAAAAATACTCATTTGTGTATTTATACTTCCGTGTGCAGCTGCTGCCATTGTAGATGGTGTATTCTGGGAAATGTTTGTCCTAAAAAATCTTTGTTTCGAGGGGTATCTATCTAGCTCTTCTTCTTAGCCCTATGCCTACAAGCTAAAGAGAATTGGGACATGGAAACGGCTGGGTAACGGGAAAGGCTAGGGGTTAGAATTGGGATAGGGCCTAGGTCTTCAGTTTATATACTGTTATGGTTTGGACCCATAGAACAGTAATGAAACCATTAGGTTATTACAAAAAGGGGAGTCCACAGCATTCAGACTTACCTTGGATTTTGCAAAACTCAGTTCACCCCATAACACAACTCCTGCGGCACCTAAAGCTGCGCTCTCACCAAGTGTGTGCTCCAAATCTGTCTGAAAAGATACACCATTTTTAAATAAGTTGAAGTACTATTAAAAGACAGACAAGACTTTACTGTAAGAAATGTAAGTAGGTTTTAAAATAGCAAAAAAAAATGTCTTTAAAGATTCAATTTAATTGACTCTATCACCACATCTTACAGCTATTTAATCTTCATTAGTCAGAGGAAACCCACGCGAATGTGGGAGAACATGCAAACTCTATACAGAAACGCCAACTGAACCAGCCGAGGCTCAAACCAGTGACCTTCTTGCTGTGAGGCGACAGCACTACCCACTGCATCATCGGTCCCAAATTCAAGTGTGTGAATTGAGTAATGACTAAAGACGGCTGAAATACTTGAAGATGAGGTGATTTACCCATGAGTGTACTAAGCGTGAACTCAGAACTAAACCCCTTCCTCTTTCAAAGTCTATTCTGGGCAGAGGTGAAGAGCTCACTAATGCATGATAAGACTGGAGCTCAGCAAACAGAGAACGTCAAATTGTGACCTTTACAAAAGGCCGTTAATATCAAAGGAAATCTTCTTTTTTCGTTCCTATAACTACTTGTGAAAGTACATACATGTTCACAGCACTGGAACCATGATGAATCCAGCACTCTAGGAACTAAGTGAAGGTAAGTACACTAATTAAAGCATGTCATGCAATTCATTGTTCCATGAAAAGACAGTTTACATAAACATGGAAACCAACCAAGAAATGATGAATTTTCTTGTTCTCCATTCTCAAATTATTGTTCTTGTTGAATGAAAAGCTGAAATGATCTTCCTGTTGATTGGCTTACATCAACTGAGGATTCCTACTGGACCTGCTAATGCAACCCCTCAGGAAATATTTAGTTTTTGGGTGCCCACCCTGTTGATTATTCATTTTCTTTTCGGCTTGGTTCCTTTATTAATCTGGGGTCGCCACAGCGGAATGAACCACCAACTTATCCAGCATATGTTTTATACAGCGGATGCATTTCCTGCCGCAACCCATAACTGGGAAACATCCATGCACACTCATTCACACACACACACACATACACTACAGTCAATTTCAGCATACCTATTTCACCTATACCATGTTTGGGTTTTCCAGAGCACGCGAACACAGGAAGAACATGCAAACTTCACGCAGAAACATCACTGGTAGTTTCTATTGTTCTTACTTAGACTCTTCCTTGAAGTAGGAGCTAATTCAGTTATCTCAAAAAGCATTTCTATAACTAAAATGGTTCCTAGTTTCTACACAAACACAAAAAAACAGGTACTTCTGACAAGTTTTTTAAAAATATCAAAATGGGGTCCCTATGAACCAAATGTGTATCTTGAGTGATTTTCCTGGTTTCCACACCCTCATAATGACTCTAACGTGATTTATGCCAGCCATCAGGAACATTAAATGTGGTGTTCAAAAACAGTGTGTGCTTATGGTACATCACTAGTAGTTCCTGTTGTACTGGGTTACACCCTAGTCTTAAGTAGAAGTAACTATCTAAGCTGTTTCTATAATCAAACATTTCTTAAATCATGTTATGTGAACATGGCTAAAAAGGCAGTTACTTCAACCGTTAGTTCTAGGAACTATGTAAACATTAGTCTAATGAAAAGCCCTAAAGAAGGCGTGACTAACCCTGTTCCAGGAGATCGACCTTCCTGCAGATTTCAGTTGCAACCCATATCAAACACACCTGCCTGTAATTATCAAGTGCTGTTCAGGTCCTAATTATTTGGTTCAGGTGCGTTTAATCAGAGTTGGAGCTGAATTTTGCAGGAAGGTCGATCTCCAGGAACAGGGTTGAGCACCACTGCCCTAAGGGGTCTCAAATTTGATTCCTGGAGGGCCGCTGCTCTGCAGTTTTGCTCCAAGCCTAATCAAACACAGCTGATCTTACTAATCAAGGTGTTCAAGACTACTAAGCAGGTGTGAGTTGGAGCTTAACTATGCAGAGCTGCGGCCCTACAGGAATTGAGTAAGAGACTACTGCCCTAAAGGGAAACAGCTGAAACTGATAAAGCGGTTCTTGTCTAGGTACCTGATTCAGAAACGTCAATGAGTGTATGAATGCCACTCGGGTGTAGGGAAATACAGGAAGTGGTTCACTGCCAGGTGAATGCTGGGAAGCCACTCGGAGGGCCTCAAGAATACGGTGTCTCACCATTAGCTGAGCGTGTGTGTGTCCGGCCAGTTTACGCCACAAATAAATGCTTGGATACAGGGCAGTGGATTGTTGCCATAAAAACCCCAGTCTATCATTTAAAATTTCTGTGCCATTGTGGCACTTCCCCGTGTACCCGCTCTGTCCTTGCCCATTGTTGTTATAGCAACTTGGAAAACCATAAAACCCCCATAATCCCTCTGGACAGAGGCGAAGCCCAAGACGCAGAGTCTCTTCCATAAACTGTCTTGCTGCTAACTCAAAGTCCAGTTTTGCTTTGGATTTAACTTCCTCTTCAGACATATCTGGATGTTCCCACCTAACCAGCTTTTTAGAAAGTTTCCGATATACAATTCTGGTCCCGAAGTTCCACTTCCACACAGGTTCCCATGCCTCCCAATCTAGCACTGCTAATCCACTGAAGCTCGACCTCAGCTTTTCCCTGATCTCCACTCCTGCTAATGATAGATGAGCCTTTAGGTATCCCTCTTGAGGTAAGCCACCATTGACTTTTACCCCTTCACGGCTGATGTAAGGGTAGAGGCCCAGGCGGCGCTGATAAAATATGCTCATATTTTGACCCTGAAATCTCTGGTGTGAATTGTGTATGATGTTGTACTGCTGAAGTGGCAGGGAGACTCCATATCGACGCTGACACCGAGCTGTTGGTACATTCCAGATCACTTGAAAGCCACGCCTCCCAATGACGGACTCCACCCCCTCAACCATATTCAGAAAAGGGTTGCTTGGAGACAACATTATCGACAGGGCTAAGGTGAGGAAGGGATGGAGAACATTGGATTCCAAAAGCATGCCTATGAAATACACACACATATTAGGCACACTCATATTTCATGTTAAAATCAACATAAACAGGGGATGTTGCAGCTTTTATGGCCTCTCTATCACCATGCCAGTTAATAAAATTGCAGTATGTAAAATAAAAACACCAGTTGTGGTTCACACAGCATGTGTCATAATTTCTTAATGTTTATACTTCATTTTCGGTAATAACGAGGTTCTATTCATGGTTGCCCCCAAAATCCTGTAGTGGACCATTAATAGATTAATTATTATTAATAATATTATTAATTCAGGGATTAAAACCAATTAGAAATGATAAGCAGTTAAATACAAAAATAATATTCCAAAGAAATGTTGTTTCCAGCATACTTGACTTGTCTCAAAATAAATGAAAGTATTTCATAACACATTTACCACCCATCTTTAAACTGTCCAACCTCAAATTTGATCCCATTAAATGACAAACCCATCACTTGAAGTTGCAGTACAATTTTATTTTAAATACACTCTTTAAAAGCAGTGACATTTCGTTTAGAGATGCTATAAAATATTTAAGTAAAATCTATTTAAGGCACATTCAGATAGTTACAGTACTTCAAGTCAATACAGTGCATCCCTGAATCAGTTACAGACTGAAGAAGCGCCACCCGAGTCTCAGATGTCCTTGTGCATCCAGAAGATAGGCAGTCCACTGTTGTCTGTGTATGGTGTTTGCTCCAGAGTCGGACTAACTGGAGCACAGAACAATGGAGGGGGTGGGGGTGGAGGTGGAGGAGGACAAGAAATGGGAGGTTGTGGTGGAGGAGGAGAAGAATAAATTTGAGGTGGTGGTGGAGGAGGAGGAGGAGCCGGAGGTAAAACAGAAGGTGTTGATTTAGCATGATTGGTAACCTTAAACTTCCTCTCTTCCTCCTCATTCTCGGCAGTCCTACAGAATCTGTGTAAAATCTCCATGGGCATGAAGGAGGCCAGAGTCCCCACGCTTTGGACAGGTTTGGAAAGCACAAACCCCAGATGGGCGTAGAAGTGTTGCTTATCGTGAGTAGTTAGGCACAATCGGGTACAGCCCCGTCCTTTGGCATAGCGTTCAACACCTTCCATAAGGATTCGGCCATAACCCTTCCCTCGCAATGATTTGCAAACCACTACCGACTCCACCAACAGACTTCGGCTGCCCAGAACGCGAGACAGGCGGGCATGACCGATGACCTTTTCATGTTGAGTCTGCCTCTCGCCCTGCAGTAGCAGGAGACACACGGGATAGTCGTGGCTGGACTGATGGAGTGAGTGAATTCGCGCCCCCATGCTGCGCTGCCATTGGTCATTGAGCAATTGGGCACACGCCTCCTCTAAATCCCAGCGCTCATGAAGAGGCTCAATTCGAAAGACTGTGCAGCTGACGTCACCATCACACCTGCACACACGCCAAGGGTACGTGGTCAACACAGGAGGGCCATCTCTGTTTTAAACTGTGCCTGATTAAACAGCTCTTTTTATAATAAAATAAAGGTTCTTATGTGCTTTGACGGTTTCATAAGGAACATTTAAAGGGATAGTTCAACCAAAAATGACTCACTGTTTTTTCACCCTCAAGTGGTTACAAATGTTCATGAGTGGCTTTATTCTGCTGTACACTAAAGACATTTTGAAGAAAGCTAATAACCTGACTTCCACGGTGCTACAAAAAACAAACACTTTGGAAGTCAATGGTTACAGGTTCTTAAAATTTCTTCTTTTTGTTGTTCAACAGATTAAAGAAAGTCAGGTTTGGAGCAAGTAAAGAGTGAGTAAATGATGACAGGATTTTTGATGGAAATCAGTTTTGTGTAAACTATTCCTTTACCATATATTGAAACTTCCCATAAACTATATGGTTTTGTACAGTAGAAAAAAAAGTTTCTTTAAAATGTTCTTCACATTTTTAAAAAAGGTTGTTTGGAAAACCAAAAACAGTTCTGCACAAACACCGCATTGTAATGTTTATTTTAAAAGGCACAGTTGCTGTTAAATATCCACATGCAGTGTAATCACAGTTAATAGTTAGAGGATTGTTCATTATTTACACCCATTTTTTCTGTATATAATATTATTATAATATTAAATACATATCGCAAGTATTAAAAAGTTATTAGATTTGGTAAACTTCAATAAGTTTCATTTATGTCCCAAAGTTTTTGGGTTTGGCTTGATGTATAAATGATAACAAAACTTTCATTTAGACAAGAACACAAAGTCAAATCTTGCAGATTTGGACCACAATGACTTACAACATTGACTTATAAATTAAGCAGGTGTGAGTTATAAAATTATTAACTTAATACATTGAAAAAAATATATATATATAATATGTATGTGTATATATATATATATATATATATATATATATATATATATATATATATATATATATATATATATATATATATATATATATATATTTAAGCCCAATCATGTGAGTAAATGACAGATGTTTCCTTATTTTACACAGAACATGAACATTTTTCTGTTAAGCGACATGCAGTGTGCTCAACAGTGTTGGACTAATCCTCTTGATTTCACAAACAAATGCAGTTATTTCTCTAACTTGCTGCAACAGCTGTCAGTTGTTTTTAACACCCAGTTTTCCTCACCATCATGTCTAAAGTCACTTTCACAGCCAGTAGCTTAATTAATAAAAAGCCAGATGCACATTTTAATTCACAGCGTTCGAGCAACAAACACATTCAATAGGAGTTTCTCATACATAGCACATATTAAAAATATATATCTGCACATGTACAAAAAAAAACATCAAAGGAAGTCAGGAAGCTGTGGGCTGGATGTGTGATTCCTGTGTTACACCACATAGAAGTCATGCTAATGTGAACCGTTTGAATAAAGACAGACATCTAAACTTACATATACAAAAATATATAGCTTTAACATTCATGTTTAGTTTAGACATGCTTTTCTTTAGTCTCTGGGCTGTGTCATTTCACAGGTCAGAAAACACCAAACTCACTAAATTTGGTACAAAACGTTGTGACATTTGAATAACATTTCATACATTAAACATTCAAAAAATGACATTAAAGTTCACCTAAATAAGAAGATTCTGTCAATAATTATTTGAACTCATCCTGTGTGATTTTCTTTCTTTCTTTCTTTCATGGAATGTAGAAGATATTTCGAATAATGTTAAAGCCCGCTGGCTTTCACTATATGGACTAAAGAAGAAAAAAAATTTAAAGAAAAAGAAAAAAAAATGAAAGAAAACAAAAAGTACTTTAGACCATTCTTCAAAACTTCTTCTTTCATGTTCCATGTGATAAAGCTACAGGCTTGGTATGACACAAAGTTAATTAGATGACAGAAGTTTCTTTTTTGAGGGAATTAATCATACTTTTGATGGCAAAAAAATAAAACTAACATTACACTAAACAATGTTAACGGAGACAGCATAGCGACATACAGCAATTTTTATTTTACTATTAAATTAAAAACAAAGAAAAACAAAAAATGCAAATCTTACTAAATCACAATAAACAAAAATAATAAAAATATCTAAAAAATGAATCAAAATAATCGATCTCACCTGCAGAGCTTAGAGACAAAACGGCCAGTTAATGTTTCAAAACTCTTTCTCATGCAACTGAGGCTTAAAATAAGGAAATGCAAGACATGTAAATGATCTCTTTCTCTGTACCGGGTAGCACTGGTCTGGGATTAGCTTAGCCAGTTATCTTGTAGTCGTTACAGACATTTTGATGTGGAGAAGACTGATTCTAGATCAGTAGTAGAAGGAAATGACTATTAACAGCTTTTTGACTTTACTGAGACAAGTGTGAAATGCTGATAGGAAGTATGTGGGCTCCGTGCTATCAATATTTGCAGGACCTAATATAAAATAACTAAAATAATAGTTAAAGATTTTAAATCTGGGGGTTAAGTTTGGAGCTTGTGTTGCATTGAGTTTGTTTCATTCAGACTGCAGGACAAAAATACATTTTCTGAAGCAAATCACAAACATAATTCTGACAATCCCCTTACAAAAACAGCATCAAAAACTTGTTTGTTTTTTTAAGTTACACCAAAGTTAACCACAAATAAACCATGGTTTTACTACTTTAACTATAGTTTATCTATTGTATGTCCAAGTAAATTTATGGCTATACTAACGTTACTGGTAATCGATGTGACGACAAAACATTTACTATAGTTACAGTTTACTATAATAAACCGCGAATCCGCGATTAATTTATTTAAGGTTAAACGGGAGCTAAAGAGAGGTTGATTCCACATTTTTTTTACAATTGAAAAGACATTGTAATCTGTCGTATTATGTTTATAACGTAACTTTCTAAAAGACAGTCTCTTGAAAACGTTATGAACTACATGCCTCAGCACACAAGACCACAACGCGACATTCGACTTCAAAACAAGTCTGATGCGGAGAGATAAATCAACAAACACTCATGATTCTCGTTGGCTGTTGACACATGCTGTGTATTTTGGGTTTAGTTTGAATCTATGTGATACCTACATGCTGGAAACTTTATAGCTGGCACAGCAGCAGCTGTTTTGAATCTCCCTCTTCTTCTGGTGGAGTAGATCAGACAGCGCCTTAGTTTACTTACTGCCACCTACTGGATATCCCGAGAGTTTCACACGATCTAAGTACAGTGTACAATAAGTATACTTATATTCTTTATAACACTTAATGTAGTTACAATAATCCATACGTGTATTATAAAATATTATTTTATTAAAATTAATATTTTACTACAGGCAGGCCTCGACTTTAAGTATTAATTTCTTTGTATGAGTTTGAAATGGACCTAACACAGTGACAAAGCAAGAAGCAAACTATTTGTTTTTACTCCGAGTGAGAAGACAACTCAGAAATGTCTCTGTGGCTCAATACAACCCCTTAGAAAAATTCTACCAAACACTGCAAAACAATTTAATGTTTTATTCTGAGATAACGGTTGGGCAGAACAAATGATCAGTAAAGGTATAGTTCCTTGGTCCCACTTTATTTAAGGTGGCTTTAACTACTATGTAGTTGAATCAAAAATAAATGAATATGAACTAACTGTTCATAATGTATGTTCTGGTGCTTCTGAGGTTGGATAAGGGTAGGGGTTAGGGACAGGTTTATTGCTATGGGTAAAGTTTAAGGGTGTACTGTATAAAATGCAGGCTTCGACACAATTCCTTCATGTTGTCCCAACACAAATTAAGTTAAATTAACCATCTTCATAAATTTAAGTTGACTGAACATAAAAATATCAGTTGTCCCAAAAAAAAAAACTTAATTATGTTGTTTCAACTCATTTTAAACAAGTAGTTTGAACAAGAAGGAAAAAGTTAAGGTGTAAGGATAAAGATAGTGAAGTGTGTAATTTCAGAAATTAATTAGATATAATTACACCCAGGTATTTAATCAATCATAAGTATAAAGTAAAACATGTATTTACAAAATAAGTACGTTGTATAAAAAGATTAAATTTGTTAAAGTATTCTACTTGTTTGGGCATCATTGTGGCGCAGTGTGTAGCACAATCGCCTCACAGCAAGATGGTCGTTGGTTCGAGCCTTGGCTGGGTCAGTTGGCATTTCTGTGTGGAGTTTGCATGCTCTCCCTGTGTTTGCAGGGGTTTCCTCTGGGTGCACAGTCCAAAGACGTGGTAGGTGAATTGGGGTATGCAAAAATTTTCCGTAATGTATGTATGTAAATGAGTGTGTGCAGATGTTTCCCAGTGATGGGTTGCAGCTGGAAGGGCGTCCGCTGCGTAAAACATATGCTGTATAAGTTGGCGGTTCATTCCACTGTGGAAACCCCAGATTAATAAAGGGACAAAGCCGAGAAGAAAATGAATGAATGAATGAATGAATTTTTGATTTATCCAACACTTCTCAGTGTGGGTCAATGGCGCCATAAGGATAGGTCTTCACAGATGTTCCTCAGAACTGTATTTGAGTCTGTTTTGCTTCCAAGATAAAAAGTTGGACTTGGGTAAGTAAAACTCCACTCATTTTCTCCAAAGGAATTTAGTTTTTTTGGACAATAATTGAAGACGGACCTGTTATGAGCTCAATGCTTGTTTAAATGAATATTAAAAAGCTGACATCTGTAAATGAATGCTTTTGTTTATCTCCATTGCTTCCCTCACTGAAGCAACAAGTACAGTCTTGTACCTTTTCCTTTTTGCCTGATTTTCAGATATTTCTTTGCTTCAAACCAAAGTTTGCAATCCTTTGATTTACCCCACAGCTGGTTGATTTATTTCACATTTAATAAACCCTTAACAAAGCTGTTTTTATTTTGCCTAAAAAGTGGATGGCTACTAATGTACCCTAATAGCTCAAACAATAATCACAGGGCTAATTTAGTTAGTCATTTTCTAAATAAATTCATGAATAGAAAATACAGATAGAATTCAAATGGGATCAAAGTTTTAGTTCACCTAAAAGTTATTAATTACTCACCCTCATGTCATTCCAAACCCTGAGAGCTTCATCTTCAGAACACAAATGAAGATATTTTAGGTGAAATCTGAGAACTCCCTCATCCTCCATAAAGAGCAGGGTTCACAATCATTCAAAGTCTAGAATGGCATAAAAAACATCCTCAAAATGGACCACATGCCTTTAGTGGTTCAATCAAAATATTATCATGCTATGAGAACACTTGTGTCCACATAAAACAAAAATAACTTCATTCAACATTTCTTTTCCTCAGTGCAAGCGATAACAAAAATATAAATTTGTATCCCGAAAATCAATAAAGGTCTGGGGTGTTTGGAATAACATCAGGGTCAATTGGCTGAACTAACACTTTAATATCAATAAAGTATGTTTAATACAATATCGTACCCAAAGTCCATCCGAACTCAGTCCTGGAGGGCTGGTGTCTTTGAGTGTTTAGCGACAACCCTAATTAAACACACCTGAACCAGCTAATCAAGTTCTTACTAGATATACTAGAAACTTGCTGGCAGGTGTGTTGAAGAAAGTTGGAGCTAAACTCAGCGGGACCCCTGCCCTACACCAATGGTCTCAAACTTAATTCCTGGAGGGCCGCAGCTCTGTGCAAAGTCTATCTCCAACCAACTCCATCTCACACCTGATTAATAATCTCTAGTTGTCTTGAACACCTTGATTAGTTAAGACAAGCTGTGTTTGATTAGGGTTGGAGCAAAACTGTGCAGAGCTGTGGCCCGCCAGGAATCCAGTTTGAGTCCTATGCCCTACACCAGGGGTGCCCAAACTTGGTCTTGGAGGGCGGTGTCCTCCTGTGTTTAGCTCCAACTTGTTTTCTAGTATCTTTAGTAAGAAACTTGATTAGCTGGTTCAGGTGTGTTTGATTAGGGTTGTCGCTAAACTCTAAAGGACACCTGCCCTTCCAGGACCAAGTTTGGTCACCCCTGCCCTACAACATAGGTCTCAAACTTAATTCCTGGATGGCCTCAGCTTTGCTCCAACCCTAATCAAACACAGCTTATTCAACTAATCAAGGCGTTCAAGACTACAAGACACTACTAGATCAGCTGTGTTTAATTAAATTTGGAGCAAAGCTGTGCAGAGCGGCCCACTAGGAATCCAGTTTGAGACACGAACCCTCCACCCTTCCCCAAACTAAAAGTAAAAAAAAATCCCAAATAAAAGCAGACACCCTGATTTATCCAAAGTTTATTAAAAGTACAATCTGTAAATGCTGAAACTAGCCAACCCTCGATGGTGTTAACCAACTAACAACAGCCAACTACCGCCCTAAAGGAAAAATAACACTCCATTTTAAAAACACTTGTATGGTGTCTCCAATGAAAAGAGAATGAACACAAAACTGATTCCTGACATTTAAATGGCACTGTTCCTGTAATTACAGACCGCACCTTCCAACACACACACACACACACACACACACACACACACACACACACACACACACACACACACACACACACACACACACACACGCACGCACGCACGCATTCGCAACATAAGAGTCCCAGCAGGTTACCAAAATGTCTGCTTTATTTATTTTTCAGGACGACTCATTCAGAAAGACTAAGGGGGAAAAAAAATATCCGCACTAGATTCGGCCTCGCATCCTCCAATTAGGGGGCGGTGTAACAGCGAGTCAGCCTTCCACAAAATAATAATATATAATCATAATAATAATAGTAATACATTAATCAATACAACGTGGAGCTTAAGTGAGAAAAATCGGTCACTGTGCATACCACCGGCAAAAAACTTTATGCACCAACAGCAGGGAAGGAAACAGGTCATATTTAAAGTTTATCAAAGCTCTCGCATTCTCATAAAATGCTCTAAAACGTTAAATTTTTGCACTTTTTTGTTTTTTTTTTATTGAAAGATATCAACTTTTTTTTTCTTGTTTAAACATAGATTCTTTTATCTCTTTTTCTCGTTTCTTTGTTGTGACTGCAAGTGACCATGAGAAAGGATGGGTCCTTGGCTGGGGATTTTTGGTGTAAGTGAGTGTGTGTGCGTGTGTGTGTTTGTCCTCTCCAGGCTGTGGTTGGTTCAGGGTCACAGCGGTTGAGCTGGTAATGCTTCTATTTCGTACTGAGCAGCTGACGCAATGACAGCAAGCGTGTGTGTGTGTGAGAGAGAGTGTGTGTGTTGCATGATTTGAAATTGTGAGCATGTTGGCTGGAGTATGAGTGCACATAAAAAGGAATGTGTGCCTACAAAATGTTTTCGGAGTGTATAACCTATGTGTCGTGTGGTGTGTGTGTGTGTGTGTGTATGTGTGTGTAAGGCACGGCCAGTCTGTCTCAGTCCCTCAGGTCCACACTGGATCCAAACAGAGCCACCAGCTGCTCCTCGTAGTGGGCGATGTTCCTCTTCATGATCTCCTTGCAGGGCCCAAGCAAGCGCTCGAAGGCTTGTATGTCAATCACTGGAACACAACAGCATTAGTGAGTAATTGGGACAGCTTTTATTTAGTTTCGGTGCATAAATGAAATCAGATCCTCACCCAAGCATTTGACGTCCCCTATAGCATAGGCTGAGGCAGCACGTGGTTTATTAGTGACGAGAGCAAGTTCTCCAAAATACTGCCCTCGACTGCAGCGAGCGATCTCAACCTCGGCATTATCCTGTCGGTCTGCTTTCGTCTGAGAGGTACAGGAAATCACAGTAAAAATGACTCTGATCACATTTAGACATGATTATGCAGGACTATTAAAATAATGTTTGGCTACCCTAAAACCCAAGCAGAACTGATAAGTAATCGGTTTGTCACATAGACTTAACCACTGCCTAAATTCCACATGAAATCAAAACCAACCATGTCACTTTGTTAGCTCAAATTACCAGTTTTGTGGTGAACCCTTCATCTGTGCAAGTCATTACAAAATATATATATAACATGTTCTCAGATGACGTTATTTTGAAGTATTGGACATGGCTAACATACTTAACCATGATTCTCTGACTGTAAGTTTTGACAGAAATGGTGAGGAGATGGTGTCTGTTAGGTTGTAATAACTCTCCCCAAACCCATTTCCAGATCTTTATGAATGAAATGTTTACTTTACTACAATCAGCCTGCAGAAGAAAAAAATTTCCGTTTCTCTAGGAGCTGCGTCAAAATAAAAATAAAAAAAAGGTTGCAGCTTCCGATTCATGCAGACTTCAAATGCACAGTGTGTAATTTTCACATAATCAAAACAAAGAAGCGCATATTTTGATAATGCGGTTACTGAATGTGGAATCATGGGAGTAATGGTCTGTCTTTACATCCTATGGCACTCCTGCAGAATTCATGTTCATGGATGAGCTGAAGTATTCAACACTTATGATGGTTGTATGAGTAAGGCTGAAATGCATTGAAGTGTAATGAGACTGCTGAAAAAAATGCTGATGAGAGATGATCGTGATGTGGCACTAAAGCAACAGAGCTTTTATTATGTTACACTCATCTGCTTTTGGTTACGTGTGGTAGAAGCGTTGCTGTATTATCTTGCTAAATACATTTTAGGCTCCTGTTGCAATGCTGCTCCTGTGAGGTTTATAAAATGCACAAAATGCATTCATGCGTCTTTGGTGTTTCCCTGTTTTTTAAATGAAAATTGAGGGTGTATGATGTCACATGGTCCGTGTAACTAGTTAACGATTGATTTATACTTCTGCGTCGAGTAATCGGTGTGACCCACGGTGCCTGCCTTGCACGTAGTCATGCATTTAAGTTCTGTGTGCTGTTTGTGTTGCTCTGCAATAGCACTCCTGAAACGCGAGCTGGCAGTAGTCTATGTTCCTCTGTGTCGAGTTTCTTCGTAGGTGTTTTGTTTATTCTGAACGCTAAAAGTAGCTAAGACTCACTCATTGAGAGGAAGAAACCAGCGGTCGGGAACAACTATATTCTTAAAGCCTCATTCACACTACGAGCGATTTGCAGCGGCAAAGCGACAAGCTTTCATTTCAACGAAAAGCGAGCAACTTCTGGCGACCTCCATCTATGTGAGCGACTTTGAGCAAAAGCCAACAGAAGCACCAGTAGAGCTCACGTGATCCTCTCTCAGCTCGCTCAGAGGTTGATTGTATTCATGCTGTAGACCTACACCGACCTGCGTTTGAAGAAGGTCACCACCCAGAGCGACAGGCAGCTACAAAGTCGCTGCTAGTGTGAATGAGGCATAAGGTAAACACAAAACAAAAGTTTCCATCTGGAGCTCCTTCACGGGATTCGACACTTTTAAAGGGCCATGAAATCCTCTCGTTTCAGCAGGGTGTTTTCACACCTCTACTTTGGAAAAAGTCAGAAAAGTGGGCGTGTCCAGCTCTGTTTAGGGGGGAGTGTCGGAGGAACTAAAGTGGGATGGTGTGGGAGTGTCGATTTGGGCACGCGCGAGTTTCAGTCAAAATACTCACACACGGGAGAAAATGATGGTGTTTAACCTACATGGACATCTGTAGTCGAATTATTTGCCAAATTATTAAATGCTGGACTTTAACTGCAGTTTGGCTCTTTCATTCAGGGAATTCATTCATGTCCCTCGCGACAAATGTGATATTTGATTCGAGGATCTGCTCTAAGCATGTATTTTTCATGCAATGTTTGATACCGCACAGCGAATGAGAGAAAAAAAAACCTCCGCAATTCCCGGAAACTTAGATGCACACGGCAGGTAGTGTCAGAAAGCCGCGTGTGTTATTCCGGTCACAAAATGCGGTGCTAACATGTTTGCACTCAGTGCAATAGTTAACTTCGAATACGAACAAACTGAATAAACAAAGAGCACTGGTCGCTCACTTACCAAATCTGTAGAGACAGGACAATCACCAGCAACTAGAGCCACGTCTTTATGAAGAGAATACTACAAGCGAATCCGGATTTCAGCGTTTGCAGATGAGAACAGCTCTCAGGTAAACAATGTTCCTCCTTAGACACGCAAGTTATTGTTGTCGCGCGTCGCGTACACTGTTAATCCACACGTGATCCAGATGAGCTCTCACAGAGAGAAAATGAAAACGAAACTTAACTGCAGCAAACTATAAAAGCAACACTTCACGCTTGTTTTGCCAACACAAAGTGGCGTCTCTGTGGTGTAAACACGGTGACAATAATGAATATTAATGAAGTTGCACAATAGAGCGCGCTGATTAGTTTGAACCAAGCCTTACTCATGCATTAATGCAACACACTGTAAGACGTAATAAGACACTCTGGCACAGACGCCCAGTCTGCACGCTGGAATACACGCTATTATGTCATGACCGTGACGCAGCTTCAAAAATTCGTTTCAAACAGGAAGTACGAATTTACTTGAAATAACGCAAAAACAACCAATTTACACTTTGTAGTGAAATATAGGTGTCCTAATAGTGTTTTTAGCAGTGTGGAACACATATACGACTGTCAACAGCTCAAAAATGTGTTTTGGTGTTTCCTGACCCTTTAAAGAATCGCTGCATCAGGCTCGTGACTCTAAGCACCACTCACATTTATCAGCGCTATCAAGCTGACCAATCACAGAGCTTGCGCTATGCATCTTTGCAACGTGTTGTTATTTTTTGAAAGGTGCACGTCAGCATAGGCGGTCAGCCACGGTGAGGGCTATGTGACTGCGCGAAGGCTACATGTGCATTTGACGCAGAAGTATAAATCAGCCTTTAAAAAGGCTGTTTCCCTGGATTTAAACATTCCTTGAAACATTTTGGATAATGCAAGTATGCAAGTCAGTAAAATAAATAACACTGTTCCAGTGGTTTTCGATATTTTAATGACATTTTCTTTACATATTGTGTTTAAAATCCCCTTAATTCAGATTTCATTTAATCTGCAAGAGTAGTTTGATATTTATCCAAAATAAAAATAAAAACTCTCTCTATAAATATATTCACGTTGCAGTCAGCTTTTTTTCTTCTTAGAAAACTGTTTGCAACTAAAAACTTTTTTATGTGGGTTTGTGCTCAAAAACTTGAATTACTAAAAGCTTGTGTCCTGCAGTTATTTATTTTTAGAAGGCTATTTAGACAATTATATATATATAATTGTCTAAATAGCCTATATATATATATATATATATATATATATATATATATATATATATATATACACAAATATTTGTTGTGAGGTTGGATCTTTAAAACTTTTTTTTTTACACCAACAGCTGTATTACACACTGTATAAAGCACAATATGTGGAAAAGCACAGTGGAGCACTTTAATTACACATCTAGGAAAAAAGTTAGAATTGCCTCCAAAATACGAGCATCCTATCCTTCAATGAGCATGTCTGCATTTTATGGTGAGGAAAATCATTTTTACATTGGAAAAATGCATTAAAAAAAGCACATTAATGAAGCTTTTAAAATATACTACAATGAAAGAAGGGATGAAAAAAAGACAAGAACTCACTTTACTCTTCATCATAATCTTCACTTCTCCAGACTCCACAATGTAGAAGCAATCAGCCTTATCACCCTGGTAATAGAGCAGCCCATAATGATAATGATTAATGATACAATAGCATCAGTCAGAGCCCTGATCTTCAGTTCAGCTCTATTATTATAGTGCTATAATTACACCTGCGCTTTCTCTCTCACTCTGTGTGTGTGTTGGTTCTTTCAGACAGACTGTGGTTGCTCAAGTGTGTGAGAGCTGAACAGATATCAAGATCTCATTGGAACCACCCACCATCTCACACAAAATCAATCTGATCTGTAGTTATAGAGTCAAGTCCATTGCACACCGGGTCCAAAAGGTTCATCCAAATTATGACCTTAGTTACGCGGTGTCAATCACATTTAAACACTGCCTCCCAAACCATTATCCATAACAAAAAAGCAAACAAATAAACAAAACTACTGTAGTTTTTTTTCAGTTTTATTGCATCTGAAGCAAGTGTTTTGACAATTCAGAGCCATCGTACAATTGAAAGCTAAAACTTAGAATGGCGTCTGATAAGTTAATCAACATCATCTGGCAACACACAGCATTTTAAAAGAATCAAATTGAGGAATATAAAGAGCAGAATGTGTTGGATGGTTGAGAAACACTGTTGTAGCCTACTGTATACTGGTTTTAATGCTTGGTGAGCACCATGCACCGTTTCCCATGACATTGTTTGGTGTATTGTTGACTGTGTGTGTCCATACTTTTGGCGTACTGCCAGTCTCTGTTCAGGGTCAATTCAATTCAATAGACACACTATTTCCTCTTTCTTTTTAAAGAGAAGAGAGGAGAACAAAAACCTCACTGAAGATGTAAAGACTTTGTTTTGTTTAGCACTTTTTGAGTTTAGGGAGTAATTAACATGCATTGGACCCAGTACGCATGGTTTAAGTGTGCTAATTCTTTTTAGGATAACAAACACAAAAGATAACATGCATACAACACTTTCTGACTCTGTGTGCAAGGACTTTAAAGGCATCAAGTAAGGGCCGCACAATATATCGTTTCAGCATCAATATCGCAATGTGTGCACATCCACAATAGTCTTAACGCAAAGATATACAAGTTAAGTCTAAGCTATAGCTGACCAGGAGCTCAAGAATTGTATTTAATTACTGTATTTATACAGAACATGTGTGAGACGATAACCGGTTTCAAGGTTTACCGCGGTTTGGTAAAGTCAAAGTTTTAATACTGCTAAAATTTTCTGCTATATGTAACATTTTTGAATATATTTTTTATGTGTTGTAAAGAAATCGGTGTTTAAATCTGACATAAAAAAAAATAAAGAGCAGTAATAACAATATCCTGATACCTTGGTGTTCTTATCGAAGGTTTTCATATGGTCAGAAATTTATACCGGCCCATGCCTAATGCAGAATATATGCGATTTATGAAAAAAACTTTTTTCTTAGTTAGAAACTTACTTATAACTTAGTTTTATAAGAAACTTACTTATTTTTGTCTTGTTTCTAGTCCAAACATCTACATTTCAAAGCAAAAAATAAATACAATTTTAGGTACCCCACTAACAGACAATTTTATTTGTTTTAAGGAAAAACTCATAATTTTGACTTATTTCTTCTGAAGTTGAAAACAAACCAATATTTTTACTTAATCAAAGAATTTGTAAATATTTGGACTCGAAAAGAGACAGAGCAAAGAAAGAAATTTTGCACTGGGATTATTAATTTTCTGTGCTTAAATACTGTTAGACTATATAGAAAACTATCAAACAGTGCCATTCAAACAATCTTGTGAAACTGTATTCATATACCAATAATTACTGCAGAAAAATTAAATAATGTATTATCTGTTTTTTCCAATATCTTGCAGCCCTAACATCAAATTCTGGGGATTCGATGAAAAGTGAATGCTGGAGATTAAGATCACTTCTTTCAACAATCTTATTTTCATACAGCCTCCAAGATAAGCTCAAGAAAGAATCATTTTGATGAACAACATAAACACGTTTTAAATCTCCTTTCTACACAAACAGTGTCAGCTCACGTGCACGTTTAAACCGGTGTATGTGTTATTGTGCGACAGAAAGTTTGTGCTCTGGACAGTTACTGTGACTGTGTACATGCACAGGACAAGGTAACGATTCTGTAAATATTATTTTGCTTCATAAGTTGTTGTATCATAGTACAAAGTAACAACAGATGGTGGTTATCAAAATAACAACAAACATATTTCGCTTACACCTGGCAACCCAAAAGTGTCTTAAAAGTTTCTCATTTAATAAACTGGCCTGAAATCCCACTTTTTTTTTTGAGCTCACCTGCATGATGATTCTTTCTCCATCCTGAAAAGTTTTTACTCCCAGCACGTCAACAATCTTCATCCTCTCAGACAGCTATGAGACAGAAATATAACATCAATATATATATGTAGGTATATTCTCTTCCACTTTAAGCTTTAACTTTAGCACTGTTATCCTTTAACAAAAGCACTAAAAACTTGTTCATCAACAAAACACAGACTTTTCTCACCTCTAGCGATTTGAGCAGTGGGATAGACTCGATAAAGCATTCATACATCCTTCTTTTTTTCGCATTATTCTTCACTATGAGTCTACGGAAGGTTGCCCGATCCTGAAACAGACACACCACAGACTTAGTATCTACATTTATGCTTTAGTCACACCAATATTTTTGTGAAACTGAAGCGATGTAAATCTGCAGCGTTTCAAGTCCACAAGGTGGTGCTGTTACAGAGCATTTAATCAGCAGGATTTGCTGGCAGTCTTGCCCTTTCACACACTCACCAGTCCCCAGAGGGCTCCCTCATCTTTAGCAATGATGGTTGCAGCACGTGGAGTGTTGTACATGAGGGCCAGCTCTCCAAAACTGCCCTTGTTATTATACTGACCCACACAACAGCCCACGCCATCCTTCTGTACCACTATGTCATAAACACCCCTGCAAATACACAAAAGCACACATTCAGTCAAGACTGTGGTGGAGTTTATATTGTCACCACACTCCAATCTGAATTTCTAACCACTGACATTCAACACAAATGCTTTGGTTAATCAATAAAGTGAATGGAATCCTTGATGAAGATAATTAATTATTGTCTGTGGCAAGTGAAATGGGGCCGATAGTCAAGGGAATGAATGTTAATGAGCGACACCTGTGCCACACACACCACAGAAGAGCTCCACAGGGATAAAAGGAGGAGCGAGGACCGGGCCTGGGACATTTACACTGATGTTTTGTTGTTTATGCAGCAGATGCTGACAAACAGCTACAGCCTACGTTTGCTTCGTTTCCTTTGAATAATGGATTAAAGGTCTGCTTTTCGCTCAGTCAGTTCCCTACACTTTGTTAATGAAACCGATTCAACATCTTTAACAAATAATTGTTCGTTCACACTGAACTGCAGTATTAAAAAAAAAGATTATACCCATTTATAATTTTGTTTGTACGTTGTCATGTCAAGTGCAGCTCTTGTGATTAAGAGGAGCTTTTCATTAGAACATCAGGCCATTATATTACTGTAATAATATGAACATAATACCACTGGTAAATCCATATCTGCAGTTGTTATAAATTCAAAACAATGCAAATGTTGCCATTTTGAAATGATCCTGTTTACGTCAAAGAGACAGAGAGAGAGAGAGAGAGAGAGAGAGAGAGAGAGTTTGTGTCTGAATATTCGTTTACATGACACTGTTTGCAACTAAAACATATTTGGCGATTCATTTATACGACAAAGCCAATTTTTAAAACAGCACTGTTGTCATCTGTGTGTAAACTACAGAAACACCATACTGAGAAAATTACATTGCCATGCACATTATGTTTTAAGTCTTACATACGGTCAACGACTGGGCTTGCAGAAGTAATTCAAGTTTGTCTTTTTTGCAAATAACGTTTGTATATTAAAAAACGATGACATCAGCCATCACATGGTTCGCTACATACCTCTCGATTACATAAAAATTATCCCCATCATCTCCCTGATCAATGACGTGGTCTTGTGGCTGTACAAGAACCTCAAACATGGCGTCCAGCACCTCTGAAAACTGCTCCTGTACCAGTAAGACACAGAGAGTCAGATGAAGCAAACATGCTTGTGTGTTATGGATCATACAATTCTGCATTTTTTCAAAATGTTTCACTTCAGGGTTCACATCAACTAGTAAAAGTGCAAGAACAAAACAAGTTGCAACATTTGTTGGTTTACCATGATATGCTATCTTTAAAACACAAGACTTGTGGTGCAAGATGCTGAATAAAGAAAAGCAGGGGGAAAACAAAAACAACCAACCAGTGACATTCAATACTAGACACCCACATGAATATGAACATATAACAGCAGTGCAGAATAAAGTTTTTTAGTCAGCTTAAAAAAAAAAGTTAAGAGTAATGATTGCCGAAATGAATATTACAAATGATTTTGCTGTATAATTTTCAGAAGTTGTATCTTATCGTAATAACATTATCAGCATTGATATCTCCGCAATTGATATGTCCGCAATAGTCACATCGCAAGATTTGCAATGTTGAGTTGTGATCATAGTTGATCAGCACAACACTTGAGAATATGTGACATTTGTGGAGTCATCAAAACATAACCATAACAAAGTGAAAGCCCATCATTTGCATGTTTATTTTATAGTAGCAATATATAGAGTACAATGATTTCACTTAAGTGTACATTTCCCATTGCTAAACCTTTTTTCTTTTTTACAAACTATAAAGTAACAGAACACAATAAAAACAAAAGATTTAAAAACAAAATCAATGAAAATAACAGTAACAATAAAATGGTAGCATAAACAACATTAATAACTAAATATACATAGGTCACAGAGGGTCGAATCTTTATTTATTTGCTCAACTTTTGTTTAGTTATTATCAGCTGTGAATTCCTAATTTAAAGAGGGGAGTGCAATGGGTTGTAAATTGAAAAGATTTTTTTCTTTGGAATTAGATAACAATATTTGTATATTTCTACAAAGATTGGATGGAGCAATCTAATGCATTTCAGTTCACTTGGACCAGATATTTCTAAATGCAATTATCTGGAGTGGAAGGAAGAACATCATTTTTTCCATTACATAAATATCATATACTATTTCTAGCCATTCTTGGGTTGTTGGGGATTCAGGAAGTACCCAGTGTCTTGTAATTGCTTTTTGGCTGTGATTATTAAAATATCAAGTATTTTTCAGATTTACTTGTTTAGATATCAGAGCTTCCAAAATAAACAACTATGAATTGAAAGGCTGGTGTAATATTAAGTATGTTTTATATTACTCCACGTATTTCTACCCCATTTGCACGTGTTTTAAAGGCATGTCAAGAAAGTTTAAAGCATTCGGGCACAAGAAGAAGTACATTTGAGACTTTAATGAGGACTCATTTTACTGAATGAATACAATACAGTGTTATTTTACATTAGATCCTTAAATTTCAATATTTGAATACTGTTTGACTCTACGGAAAACCATAAAGCACTGTTGATTTTACTTTTTTGTTGCTCTATTTGATTATTTTTGTTCGCAATTTGTTTTTTATTTTTTAATACATGATTCACACCCTCAGAAAATCACTTCAATCACTCCTAATTAATGATTTCTTTTTAAATAGAGTCATTCAACCCATGTGGTGAAAATGTGGTATTTATATCTTAAGATATATTGCAGAAAAACCAAATATCGCAATGTCAAATTCTTCCAATATCATTCCAATAAATGCTTAAGTATTTTAAACTTAATTGAATGTAATAGCCCCATTTTGAAAGCTCAATTACTTGTTCTTGTTATCCTTGAATTAAGTGTGAACTATATGACATCAGCAAAAAAATAAAAAAGAGCAAATCGTTATGTGAGATAATTATTTCCTCCATCGTGACAACTGACAGTGGCTGGTTTAGTAGAGCATGTGTGATCAGAAACCAAACATGACTGACCGGCTTGCAAACTGCCCAGCAGTGCTAAACCTGAGTGAAATCTGTTTACAGTTTTAGAGTATTCATATCTGCGTGTGTGTGTGTGTGTGTACCTGATCAAGAGCCTTGAATAACAGAATGTCCTTGCAGGCCTCCTGTAATCTACAACGCTGCTCGTCTGTTTTTGGATGGACAACTCTAGGCTCAGAATCTTCCTCATCGTCATCAGGGTTAAAGGCCTCCGCGCACACTATCAAAAGAAGTTACAGTTATTTACACAAGTTCCGCCATCACCAAATTTACATACATGATATTACAAAACACTGGAAAAGGAGTTCATTTGTTTTTATAGAGCAGTTTACACCTGGCCACTTCATGTGTTTTCTCTAATCAGATAGCTATCTGATTTGAGAAAAAAGTTCCATTTATGATTTGATATCAGGGAAATGTAAAGCTTTTAAAGACATGTTTAAGTTCATTGTGAATGAAATTTTTGACTTATACAGGGCTAAACATAAAGGATTTTATTTTTTAATGGCCCAGTTGGGTCAAATGGAATAATTCGTTTTTGCTTGCCACAAACGAAAGAAAATCAAAAAATTTCTTAGCCACATATTTTAATGTGCTACACTTAATTGTATACACTTTTTTTAACTGACAAATTAAACATTAAAGTGTACGCCTTAAGTTTCTTGCCTGTTTATAAATATTATGTCCACTCTAGACATGGGACGATAACAGTTTTCAAGGTATACTGTGGTTTGGCAAAGTCAAGGTTTTACAACTGACTAACTTTTCTGCTATATCGTTCCTGCGGTATATGTAACGGTATACTTTTTTAATTTTTTTTTTTTATAGGACAACAGTATCTCCAGCAGAAAAGATATACAAAGATGTAGTTTTAAATTGTAAAAAAAACTAATGAAGACAGCAGAAGTCGAGGATTGATTTGAATTATTAGTTTGATATGTTTACTGTTCCAAAATATTATAATTGTTTCTCAAAATAAAATGTATTGTGTTCAAAGAGAAAAAAGTTGTTCTTTTTTTTTACCCAGACATTTATAAAAAATATACTTTAGAGCAGTAGATACAATCACAATACAATGTTTTCCAAGGTTATCATACCATCAGAATCTTAGAATTACCGACCCATGCCTAGTCTACTCCACCTTACTTCTGTTAAAAGTTTTTGTATAAACGGAAGATAACGTAAAGCGATATATTGCTTTTTTTATTATCAGGAGGTACTGCATAATTGTTTTTCTTTCTCTGATTAGGAACTTTAATTAGAAAAAAAATTGCTTAATTAAATGTAAAACACTTAAATATAAAAAAGAAAGTTTTACTAAGACGGATGTCGGCCAACAAAACAATGTTTCAGTGATTTTAAGACTTTTTAAGACCCCGGGCACATCCTGGATATGATTTTTAGGGGATATGGTCTTCAAAATCCACACTATGTGCAATTGTAACTTAAAAAGTGGTGTATTTGAAACATTTTAAATTCATATTTTTTTAACAGAAATGTCAGCAACAACAGTGCTCAGCTAATACAAGTACTCCCCTCACAAATGTAGATTTTAAATTCATATTTTTAATAGGAAGCTATACAATATTATATGTGCACATAAATTAGATTAGTCAGTACTAAAGCCAAATCTGGAGCTTCAAAACTAGCACACCCAAATTTATATGTTATAGAAAAATATTAAATACTAATTTTAAAGAAGAGAAAAAATCAAGAAGCAAATAATTGGAAAAATTGTAGGCCTTTGCAAAATATTTTGCTTGAATTTAATTGTATTATCTTTCAATTTCTAAATATGTTCGGTGACTAAAACATTCTTTTAATAAATATATCCGTTTAATAAATCTGTTTTGTTTAAATTCCCCAAAATACATTGCCTATATTCACTGAGAAATGGATATAAACATTCATTTTAAAAATGGGGTGTCCTCGATTATGCTGAGAACTGTATATCTTATTTGGCATACAAATGATTTTATATGCAGGCTTCAGCCTTTGTACGTCACTCATGTTCCAGAAAAACATAATCACACAAGGCAGACTTCATGATTGGACGATGGACAATACGCAACTTCACGAAAAAAAGACTATTGTTCTCATTGTGTAAAGCATGCCTTTACAGGTATAGCAAATCTTGATGGCCTCACGACAACGTGGGACCTGCACATAAACAAAAAGCATCAAGGGAACGCATTCAATAAAAGGGGGATTTTTACTGGAACACAGTTGAAAGGGGCAGAAGGACTGGCGACGTAATTACTATAAAACAAACACGAGGGGAAATGACGGAAAGGCAGAGCACTTATCTGACACTCACACACACACTTTAAACCACATGATTAGTGCAATGACGTCAAACAAACTCACCCGACACTCTCCGGTTAAATCTGCTGGGGGGAGGAGCTGTGGAGAGAAAGACAGAGAGAAAGAGATCGAGTTAATTCAACTGCGTTAACCATCAAACTCAGTCTCCAGATCTCACATGTGCCCTTGAGTATCTGTGTGGGTGTGTTAAATATTCGCTAAGGTCAGTCAAAGGCCTGTCCTACAGGCTGTACCAGTTTCTGGAGATTGCAATTATGTGTGTAGGATCAGAGCAGAGTCTCAGGAACCCTGCAGGTCTGACACCCCCCCTCCTGCCCCCTCTCTCACAGGGCCGTTACAATCCTGCACTCCATTAACTCTTTGGTGTAAAACTAGCAGTAATCTTCCTCTCGCAAGCACTCTAGCTTATTAGTGAAATACAGTCTTAATAAGATGATCTGCTCAGGACCAGTACCTCTGTAGCAAACACATTTACATATTGCGAAACAACACTTGTGGTGTTTAAAGGGCTCCTTGATAATTATTCCACTTCTTAAACTTTGGTTATTGTGTAATGCTGTTGTCTGAGGATAAACAACATCTGCAATGACTCGGTGATCAAAGTTCAATGCAAAGGGAGAATTTTTCTTTCGCAAACATCTGGTAAAAAGACACAACAACAACAACAACAAGCTTCCTTCCTGGGTTTGTGATGTCAACAAATCAAAAATTTACATAAACCCAGACAACTTGCACTACTTACTATCCTTCAAAAGTACAGACCCTCTAGTTTTTCGCAATTTTGCAATCGCTGAACCCAAAGCAAAATCAACAAAAAGTCGCAATTTTTTGCGATCTTGCAAAATATTAATTTAAACGCAACGTAAAACGCAACGTAATCACAAAAAAAACTTTAAATTATAAAAAAAAAAAAAATCCAGTTCCAAACCATAAATTTAAATGATAATTATTTCAGTACGTAATTAATTGTTTTAAATGATTTATAGACGTTGCAGACAAGCGTCTCTTTAAAAAAGTACATCTCACTTGCTCCCTCACAATCCTAACATTGAAATGGGGGGTAAAAGTCTTACAGCCTGTGCAGTAAGCAGATGTGGTTGAAGAGCAAGTGATTTACATGTGAAGTCAATGCAAAGATGCGGTTAGACATCATGTGGCGGAAATCAAGTGAATACCACTGCGCGAATTGGTTGTTTTGTGTGTTTGACCCGGTTCAGACTGCAAAAGAAAGTGGGAACAAACATCTAACAAACGGAGCAATGGAACAGACAGAGAAGCAAGCAGCTTACAAAGATGGAGATTGGTTCAAGGATGATGGCCGCTGGACGTGACCGAATTCAAGGACGTTATTTTTGCTTTACATGTATGATACGATAAATAATTTCGTTTAACTCTTTTCCTGCCACTGACGAGAGAAAACACTTCCCTGCCATTGACAAATTTTATGACAATCCATGTTTTAGGTGTGTAACGTAGGGGAAGACCTAACGCATGTCCTGAGTGAAGTACATGATGTCAGATGCTCCAGGTATGAAATCTGAAAAAGTATTTTTTTAAGTAAGGTAATAATAAGAGTTATAACCTTCCCTTGGCCTAATCTGTATTGTTTTAGATCTTGTCTTGATAAGAGATCAAAGTAAAGAAGCTTTATTTTTTTATTGTCAGATTGCAAACCTCACATAGTAGGCTAAATATATATATATATATATATATATATATATATATATATATATACATACATATATATACATATATATATATATATACACATATATACATATATATACATATATACATATATATATATACATATATATACACATATATATATATATATACATATATATATATATATATATATACACATATATATATATATATATATATATATATATACATATATATATATATATATATATATATATATATATATATATATATATATATATACATATACATATACATATATATTGAATTTCTGGGAATTACCACTACAAAAGCAATCATTGTTATCGCGAAAAAAAAAAGTGAAAAATAAAATCACAAAAAAAAAACTAGAGGTCTGAAAATAGCTAATTGAGTCACCTCACATGCATTTTACACTTATAGTAAAGAAAAACTTGCATAAGCTGTCAAAACAAAAGTTTATTTTAACTTAAAGTAGCTGTATAAAAGGTTACTACTATGCTGCAAAATGTTTCATCTAATAATATTTATAATAAAAACAATAAATTTTAAAAACCCCTCAAGTAGCACACAATTTGCCAAACATTAATCTGTTTGTCTAGTCTTAATTTGATTTGATTCAATACTCTTAATTTAATTCAGGTTTAAGCCTCATTCTGTTACAGCAAAAATGAAAATATTTAACAGAATAAATTAACACAAACATTATGGCTCTATTATTGTAAAACTTAAGAAATTATTATTTAACTGTGCAAGTTAAACTACTTGTAAGTTTTGGATTACTAAAATTTCATTTCACCATTACAGCAAACAACAGAATAAAGAAAGAATCCAGAAGTAAATGCAATAAAAATAAAAATAAAGATTTCATATGGTCAAACAAGTCTGAACGCATTCTTAAAGTAATTAACCTGCCGCCAAATATGCACATTTCATAGGACACAACATGCTTGCTCACGTTGCATGCCGCCGAATCAGTTCTATTCACACATAAGCATTTAGATTTGCACCTCTTTGTAAATGACTTAACACCGCATGTGAGTGTGTGTGCGTACTATATGCCCAGATAAAGCAGCTCAATAGCTAGGCGTGTAGTGAGAGCACTCAGAGAGATGAGTGCGTGCATGAGCGTGAGACGGACCGCTTCAGCCTCACGTGGAGGGGATATCAAGTGGCCCGAGCTGCCATGACAACAAAATACAAGGAAGACCTCCTCATCTCTATAACAACTATAACCCCCAAATACACACCCACACATTCACTGTCTCTTCTGCCAGCCACTGAGAGACAGAGAGACTGTTAGATGTAGTTTATCCTGATTATTTTTTTTGTATTTTTCTAGTACTATTCAGTGTTTTATGCTTTTTTAAATAAATAAAAAAATATATACATGTTCTTTTTGATGTAAATTTTATAAATGCTTTGGCAATACATCTGTCATGCCAATAAAGAGATTATTAAATAGATTTGAATTTAATTGAATTGAGAGAGATACACAGACAGAATGACACAGAAAGGAAGTAAAGGGAAGGTAAAATGGTGCTGTGGACGACATTATAATCTTAAAACTAAATATTAGGGGTGTCAAAATTGATTGTTTCTTTAATGCACCGTGATGCATACGCAAACAATTTGGTATCGGTTCAGTAAAAATCATAACTGGTTATTATATACGGACGATCACATATGCGTTAAAATGGCGGTAGATAACTAATGCGGAGGGAAGAGACCTTGAGTAATTAAAACGCTTGAACTATTTAAAAAGCAGATAACTGCACAATTCACTGTTTTTGAGTTTGCTGGACAGTCTTTTACTGACAGGGAAGTACATCAGAAACCAGCTAGGAAAAGAAAAAAGCTGTAAACTCTCTCACTCTCTGTGGCCCCTTTGACCTGCTGGCATGTTTGTGAGGTAACGTTTTATCTCCTCTCTCGGCTGTTCCAACAATAACTTTACTTGTGGATCCAGACATAAGGGTGTCTGCACAGCGAGTTTTCTCTACCGCACTGATGTCTTTAATGGATCAGCTGATCGTGTCAGCTCATTAACATCACTGTCCATATCATTTGCTGGTCAGTGCCAGAGCCGCGCTGACTGTTAGAGCCAATCACAGCCTTTGTTGTTGAGCGCGTGATCAATCAGAGGTGTATAAGAACTTGCTCAACAACGCTCAAAAAGCAAGCGGGATAATATTTACATTTGTTTATTTGCTATAAATGCTCATGTTGTTAGATACGTTCGAAAAGAGTTTTCTTTGAGCAGGTCAAATTAAAGGTACAGCACCATATACAGTAAGGACAAAATTGTATTACAAATAATTTTTATTAAACACATCTACCAACTCAAAAAGCTTGAAAAGTCAACTTGGTAACTTTGTTAGGTAAACATTACTCTGCAAGCATGAGGAAAAATGTGTTCTTCAGATTTCACTCCCCAATTGACATGGGACGGATATCTTATGTTTATAATATTACAGCCCCTTAATCTGCATGTTTTTACCCATTTTACTGCAACAGCTTTTTTTTTATTGTTCACTTACTGTTAGGGCAATATATCGTTACAGCATCGATATCGCAATGTGATTATTCACAATTGTCACAGAGCGAGTAAACGTCTGGATTATAATTGATACTTTAGGCCTGTGACTGTATGAGGGTTTTAAAAGCATTTAGGCATAAGATATTGTACCGTTTGTAACTTTAAAAAATGATTAGTGATTAACATTGAATTGTCTGAAATGAAGACTATGCAGTATTGTTTTGCATTTAATTATTACATTACTGCATATTCGATTTAATTGCTTCCTCTGTAAACAATAAGACACTCTTTATTTAATGTGTATGTTTTTCTCTATTGAATATATCAATGCTTGTAGATTGTTTATCATATTTTCTGCACTCCCCTACAGAATCATCTTTAGAATTATAAATTCTTTCCAAACTGTTTTATTAACTCACACTGTAAATAATGCTGGGTTCTACACAATCGATTTGAGTTGGGACAACATAATTAAGTCACCTTACAAATTTAAGTGGGTTGAACATAAAACAATTAAGTTATCTAAAAAAAAAATCTCCAGAATTGTGTTGTTTTAGCTCAATTTAAATCAGTCGTTTGAACAAACAGTAAATTACATATTTTGAGTGCATCTTGTGAAATTGTATTTATATCACAATGTATAATCGCAGAATAAAAAAGTATCTCCAATTTCCAATACCTCAGCCCTACTTGCTGTAACAGGTACAGATTTACACAGTCTGGTCAGATAAAAATGTTGCATGTTCTGTTGTTGGATGTAACAAAGAAGATAAGAGTTTCCATTGTGTTGAACTTTACTTTCAATGAAAATGTACCAAGCAATATGGGTAAAGTGTTGTATAATTAGACAACT